AGTCCCACACACCAAACACAGGCCGAACGCAGAACCCCTGGCGATTCCCCTGTAAAAGTACGTGTACTCGAATCTGTTTATTGCTGTCATTGCGAGCGGAAATCTCCGGCGGCACAGCACTTGTTTACTTAGCGTAGGAGCTAGAATTAGGGTTCATCTAGATATTAATTAATTCCTCTCGCCTAGTCAAGCACCAAGCCAGTTGGACTGGATGTTTCGCACAATGGACCGTAATAAGATAACTTACCAGTAATAATGGCTTAGAGCAAGCCAAAGCCAGCAGGAATCTAGCATATGCAATGCTCAATTGGTAGATCTGACTCGCAATGTTTACTGATCGTCTGTGTTTGTCCTTGGATGGAGGATCACACTTGGGCCACAGGCGGGATCGTTCAAGGATCGATCGATGAGCGGGTCAAGCCACTGAGAGCAACGATTCCACTTTCAGGGCATTATAAGATATTGGGAGGAATCGAAGGATCCGATCCAGCCGGTGGAGGGATCCTTGGTTGTCGGAGGAAAGAGACAGAGGGTGGAACCGGTTTGGTGTCAGACAGTCGGACCCGCGAGCCGCCATCGCTTAGCGGGTTCCGTCCCATACCGTATGATACTCTCGAAACTTATTCTTCTCCAGACATCTTCTTCTTGGAAGTACAACACTGTCATAGCCCTGCATATACGACGACCTCACTATAAACATCCACCATCCACGTTCTTCTTTCGGTGGCTCTGAGCCTCCCGATCCCACCTCAGCAAACATGAATCTCACCATTCATGCGGATTCATCCCCTCCGGTCAACTCTGGCGGAGTCTGGAACCGATAGTGGAGCCGTCAGACAAGCCTAGAGCAGACAGCGCATCGCCCTAACTGCTTAGACTGCCATTGTTATTGGAGCTGTTTCGAACTCCATGCTTGCTCGGTCAGCATCCCAGTCGATTAGGGCTCCGTTCTATTTCTCGCCGGCCATCCGAATCGCCATCAATAGCATAGGCTCGTGCCCATAGCGAGATACGAACGTCTAGGCGATCTAAACAAGGATCTAAACAAGGGATGAACACTTAAAGGCTTGGGATTCCCCGTTTCGGGGGCTCCTCTTTCTCTGCTCAGGCTGCGCTCCCGTTCTGTCCTGCCTCTGCCTTCACTTCTTTAAAGCCAACCCAATGGTTGCTCTCAAGGCCCTCAGTCTGAGCCTGCTTGCTTCGCAGGCCTGGGCTGTGCCCACAGCCTCCCAGACGGCTCTGACCAGCCCAGCTGCATCCGACGCTGCCGTGGCTGCCGCAGCTGCCAAGCTTGAGCAGTTGTCGAGCTATGCCCTTGACCAGACTCTGGCCAACCTCCCCAGCAGCTCCGAGGACAAGCAGGCCTGCACGCGAGAAACCCTGCGGATCCGCCGTGACTGGCGGGCGTTCTCGAAGCCCGAGAAGAAAGACTACATCAACTCGGTGCTCTGTCTGCAGAAGCTTCCCTTGCGCACCCCGTCGCATCTAGCTCCAGGTGCTAAGACTCGCTATGATGATTTCCTAGCCACGCATATCAATCAGACTCTAGAGATCCACTACACGGTACACGTTACTACTTCTCTGCTACACCCATCCAGAGCACTAACAAGAGTCTTAGGGAACCTTCCTCGCATGGCACCGCTACTTCACCTTTGAATTCGAGCAAGCCCTCCGTAATGAATGCCACTACGCAGGCGACTTCCCGTACGCCCCTCTTTTCTCCCTCACCCCCAAACTCCCCAACTAACCTCAACTCACAGGTACTGGGACTGGGGCTATGACGCCATCCACACAATGGAAGCGTCTGAAGTATTCGACGGCTCCGAGACCTCCATGTCCGGCAACGGCTACTACATCCCCAACCAAGGCAACATCTCCCTCTACCTCGGCAACTACGCCCCTATAATCCTGCCCCCGGGCACCGGCGGTGGCTGCGTAACCAGCGGTCCCTTCAAAAACTACACTGTGAACATGGGCCCCGCCGCGCTCTCCCTCCCCGGAGGCAGCACCGCCGCCGTCTCCGACCCCCTGAACTACAACCCTCGCTGCCTGAAGCGCAGTCTTACCACCGCCCTTCTGCAAAAGTACAACACCTACCCCAAGATCACCTCGCTTATCCTGGACAACGACGATGTCTGGGACTTCGAGATGACCATGCAGGGTGTGCCTGGCAGTGGGTCGATTGGTGTCCATGGCTCTGGACACTATAGTATGGGTGGAGATCCGGGACGCGATGTCTATGTTAGTCCTGGAGATCCGGCGTTCTGGCATCATCATGGTATGATCGATCGGGTTTGGTGGATTTGGCAGAATTTGGATTTGAAGAGTAGGGAGAATGCGATCTCGGGAACGGGAACGTTCTTGAATGAGCCGGCTAGTAAGAATACTACCTTGCAGACGGTTGTGGATTTGGGGTATGCCAATGGAGTACCGAGGAGGATGAAGGAGTTGATGAGTACGACGAAGGGGCCGTTTTGTTATGCTTATGTTTAGGTTGGGGAGGTGTGGGTGTATATACTGCCGAGAGTGGTGAGTTGTATAGTTGTAATGAGAATGTAAATAGAATGTGTGATGCGAAAAGTGATTTCATGATGTTGTTAGTACGAGAAAAATCAAAATCGGACTCATACAACGGTTCATAGTATTTCCTTCAGTTTTACAGTAAGTGTTTGAGTCGTCAGTAATCCTGAAGTAGCGGTTATATCCAATAGATCAATTGTTAGATGTATAGCAACGTAGTATTTAGCATCTCCGTTCCACTCCCTTCCGACTCATACAGATATATTTCACTCCCTTATATGGTTTCACTCCCTCGCCTAGTCCGCGACTCCGCCGCGGATCGATGTTCAGGCACTCTACCTTGAGCCCCGAGGGAAGCCAGCCACGAACGGAGAACGACACCGCTGCCGAGTTAGGCATTAGTGTCGCGTTTAGTTGGGTCTTGGTTTTACGGGGCGCCGAAAGGAAGATGGAGGAATCCGAGTAGGCTCGGCTGGGTGATTGTTTCTGTGATTGTGACTGTGACCGGGGAAGTGACGGTGGAGGTTGCGGCGAGGATGATTGAACGGGCGGTGTAAGCGTCTGCGATTGTTCGGGTTCAGGAGTAGGAGTATGTGTGAGTTGTTCGGGATCCTCCGGGTTCAAGGAGAGGGGTTCAGCGGGCGAAGAAGCTGAGGCTTCTGCTGCCGCTGCCGCTGCTGCTGCGCGGGAAGATGATTTCTTGACGACCTTCTTCTTCTTCTTTTTCTTGGTCTTGCGTTTCGTCGTGTCTGCTTCAGGGTTCTGGTAAGACGCGCTGGCGTCGTAGTAGCCCTGGAGGAGATTGGTGTCTGCGTCGATTTCTTCGACGTCGTCGTCCAGCTCGTCATCCGCATAGTGTCCTACGACGGTGCACCTGAGCGTCGCCGTCCCGGAAATTGTGCCGGCATCTTTGGTCGGCACGCGCCATTCTAATACGCCGTTGCCCGGTGAGAATAAAGCCTCTCCACGGCTGGCGTGCATGTCTGTGACGTTCCGGACCGATTTCGGAATCGGGACGGTCACCACAACCTCTTCTAGCGCTGGCGCTGAGGAGTTGCCGCCTCCACCCCCGAGAAAAGAGGGTGTAGACGTGCCTGATCCGCTACGCCCGACACCAGGTCGGCTAGAGGACGAGTATCCCGGGAAATTTGTGTTGAGAATAAGGCGGACCTCAAAGTCTGAGCCAGTCGGCCCAAGCGATTTACGAATGTCCACAATAGCCGGCAAGAAAAGCTTCTCCATATGACTCGGGGGTTGATCAAGTGTAGGGTCTGTTGGCATGAGATCCACCTCGTACCCGGCAAGAATGAACCGACCGTCTGGTGGTACAAAGCTGAGCTCGCCAGGGTTCTCCCGCCAGCGCGCTAGGCGCACGCATGGGTGGAACACCGGCAGCTCCAACTTACGCCCCAAGGCATTTTGACCACCGGGTGCTGTTAACGAAAGAAGCAGATCAGGGACACCGGATATCTTGGCGGTGAAGGCGATAGTACCGGAAGACATCGCAGAGAGTATTCGTCCTGATGGCGCCATCGTCACGGAAAGTGATTCGATAATATCAACATAGAGCTCGTTGGAAGTGTGTCTCACTCCGGACTTTCTCCAGGGTATCGCAGGTCCTTGGGCCGCGGCGGCGGCTGATTGCTTCATGGCACTGGGTTGTCCCAGAATCGGTGTCGATGATCTGCGCATAAGAAAGACCGTCAGTTCACTATATGTAGCATGGTGACCTTCATCCGGTAATGGTGGGCACTCACCCAGGCAATCCAACGCCGCCTAACAGCTTCCCCATCCATCCTGGCATTTCCACTACCTCCTGTAGCGCATTGGGCTCTGTATTGCAAACAACCCCCGCATCGCACATTTCGTGCAGAAGTTGTGCGACCACATCATAGTTCGCCTGGATCTTGGTGGAAAGCAATGGTGCTCCAACGAAGTCCTCGAGAACATCAACAACCCGATGGATGAATTCCAAGGCAAGCAGGGGTTCCGTATCAACCTCGGACAGCGCCAAGAACAGCAGGTTGGACTGCACTACCGAAAACACTGTCACCGGTGGAGTTGTGTTTGGAAAGTAGATGAGTGACGGGCGCGGAGCTGCATAGGCGTTATAGAGGGGGAGAATGGCCGATGCGGAGGGCGGACGGGAGCGATAGACCTGCTCGACGATCGGATTGCTGGAAGAGGACAGGTCAGTGACTGCTGGGAATCAGAACATTGGAAGGAACGGCGTGCCTCTGCTCATCATAGATATAGAGCGCATCGACCTGGCCGCTCATGATGGCGAAGGCGACCTATCCCGACCGGTGGGGGCGTAATGTAGTAGGCAGAGGTGGTCATGGTGCAGCAATGATGGTCGGTGATCCATCGGCCCCCATTTAGCGGAGTCCAAAAGCCCCTCGTTCTGCCGCCGATCCCCGCCTTTTCATGCATTTCCTTTGAATGGCTGCAGCTCGCCGCAACGAGCTAGTCTCCTTGATCGAGACTCGTCTGGACTGCTCTCTAAAAGACCTTTTTTTTGTCTCTCGTTGATTCTAGAACAATGTCTTCATCTACCCAGAATAACAGCGCCTTGGATGTCCAGCCCAAGGACGCGAAGCGTGCACTTGCGGAGGACGCATATGATGACTGCCTATCGTGCAGAGTTACTGGTATGTTAATATTTGTTTCTGGGCGACAATCATGGTACTATAGCTAATCTGATGGCTTGCAGGATCCGCCGCATTCATCGGCCTCGGTGTGTACAGCTACTACTCGGGATTGAAGAACCTCAAGATGAATGAAAAGGCAATCATGCAAGGAACAACCAAGTATAAGATGGGATCTCGACATCTCGGGCTCTTCACCATCTCTGCGACACTAGTTGGGATGGGAATATATAGAGCCTTCAACTGATGAAGCCACGACGATTTGTATATCATGTACTCTATACCATATATTCTACTCTGGCGTTGGTTCTTCTGATGACGGGAATGCACATCAAGTCAAGCGCTTCATCACTAATAAACATGTACAAAACAGTGTATAGAAAGGATCGTACGATTAATATAACACTAGCCGCCTCACCGGGTATCGCCATGTCTGATAACCTCTATATTTAATAGTAATGATGACCGAAGGAAATGGGATATGACAAGGAAATAATGTAAGCAAAGAGAATATGAGCACAAGGATAGAATGAAAATGACTGCGGAAAGATGACCCGTGGCCCACCAAAGGGCCACATGCAATACTCCTACTAATGCACCGAAAGAAAAACAAAGAAGAAACCACAAAAAAATGCAATTGACCGCTGCGTGACCGTGAGAATATATGCTCGTCTATTCGTCGATACCATATTTTCTAGGTGAAGCGGCCACGTTTGCCGCCCCCAAATATGTCTCGATTGCCTAGACCAGACAAGTCGAAGAAATCGGGCACGTTCAGCTTTCGTTTCGAACCGATCCCGACGGACGGTTCATGAGGGGACGACCGAGTGTTTGAGCGGGTGAAGTTATTATGACGATTCTGTTGCCGGGCGTTTCGAGGCAAGACGGAGACGCTGACCGGGGCACCATCTTGAGACGCTGGAGTCGAACTGTCGGTGGTTTGCATGTCCATATCTTGTTCTGGGAATTGCGGAAAGGTGGGCCCGGCAGTAAACGTAAAGATAGTTGGACGATCGAAGTCGTTTGATTCAGAGGCATGAGGGGTCGAAGGTGTTGGCAGCTGTTGCTGTGGCGGAGCTGGAGCTTGCTCCTCCGACGATAACTTGGAAGGCTGTCGGATCGGTTCGGATTCTGGCTGTGCCTTGCGGGCGGCAGCCGGCGTTGCGCCTCTGGTTTGTTTCTCAACCTCATCATCGTCGCTAGGGGCACCACTTCCATCACTCCGTTCCGTGGCCCATTGCCGAACTTTCCAGCCCTCCCCGTCCCCAAGACCGAGGTTCTCCCGGTCTAGGAAGTGTAGTAGATCCTCAATTGCTTCTTGGTATCCAGCTTGCTTGGCTTGCGACTGTTCGTAGACAGCATTCTTGTAGAGGTTCGTGACGGAGAGAGCAGCAGCCTTGAACGACTGTAGGAGCTGCTCAGGAGGTTGTGGCCGAGGCGTCGAGCTGGGCAGTGACGTGTTTAGGGATCTCATCGAGTCCATGGTGTGTGGTGTGGTGGCAGAAGCAGTCTGCCTGGGAGACTTTTGACAATAACTACTAGCGTTGGCGTCACTAGGAGGGGTGACTTGAACCGTGCTTCTGGGAAACCAGGGGTTAGGCAAACTCCGAGGCAACCCCAAGAAAGATCAGGAAGAGGCAGATATGACTGATAGTCTGGACTAAAAGAGACAGGCCCAAAGAGGGGGCGTTATAGAGGGAGAAACAACAAGATCCGCAGGCAAACAAAGGACGTTGGCTGGCGATGACCGTTCGGAAAGGACGCTGGCGCAGCTGATCTTTCTTTGCGTCTGTCCCGGTAACGTGACCCACAGCGGGGAAACTGGTCTTCCGCCGCCTGCTGACTCAGAAATGACTCAGTCACGCCCTCGCGTCTCCCGTCCAATGAGCGCGTGCCCTGGCCGCGCTTCTCCGACGAAATTCCATTTGCCATCCCATGAGCGCGACTGGCGGTGCTTCTTCGTCCTTTCATCATCCGTCACTGTTTGTTCCTTTCGCACCTCCTTTGTGCGCCCCCCCAACTTCAATTTCTCCCACCAGATCCTCTACAGCCAGCTATTAAAGAGGTCGTGGATCTTACATATTCCTAGGGGTCTTATCGATAGCTTCCTACCCTAGGTTGTTTTAATATCAACTCGTGTCCCGCTTTGTATAGTACCGAACAGCTGCGCTCGGTGCGCTGTGGATGGTGATGGCTCCTTCAGTTGAACCGACTCCCGACTCGCCATCACAGGCAGATACCCCTATGACAGACGCGAATGCTGAGCCTGTCACGTCGGTGCCCGTGGATAGCGCAGACGCGCCGATGACGGTAAGTTAGCGCGAATCCCCTCTTTGCGCCATGTATTATCTTCATGCGCGTCCTTGGTTAAACGGCAAAGCGCTCCCGCTGACAATAATCCTAATTCAGGGCTACCAGGACACTCCAGACTACACGGTAAACGCGACTCAATAACTCGGCGATCCGCCTGACGCATAAGCCGACTAACACAAATTAGGACTCGGATACGAACCCAAATACCACGGCGAGCAGTGTTGCAGGCGACGCAGCGCCTTTGGATGGCCGGAGACGGAGGTCTGAAGCTTTCCACATGAGAAAAAGTATCTTGGGCAAGAAGCATGGTCGTTTGGATGAGTCGAAGGTACGCCAATGCGATGGTCGTGTTTTGATGATTTGTCGCTCACGGTGTGTATTACTATAGGAAGATGATTCTATCCGACGATTTCGCTACCTCCTCGGCTTAACCGACTTATTCCGTCATTTCATCGAAACCAACCCTAATCCGCGGATCAAGGAGATCATGGCCGAAATCGACCGGCAGAATGCTGAGGAGGAGGCAAAGGCCAAGAAGAAGGGCTCGTCGCGCTCAGGTGGTGCAGGTAGTGAAAGGCGTCGCAGAACAGAGCAAGAAGAAGACGCCGAGCTGTTGAAGGATGAAAAGTCCGGCGGCGAAACCAACACGGTCTTTCGGGACTCCCCGCCGTTCATCAAGGGAGAAATGCGCGATTACCAGATTGCAGGATTGAACTGGTTAGTTTCGCTGCACGAGAACGGTATTTCAGGTATCTTGGCGGATGAAATGGGCTTGGGCAAGACTTTGCAGACCATTTCTTTCCTTGGCTACCTCCGACATGTATGCGATATCACCGGCCCGCACCTCATCGCCGTCCCCAAATCTACCCTCGATAACTGGAAGCGGGAGTTTGGAAAATGGACACCTGAGGTCAATGTGCTTGTCCTCCAGGGTGACAAAGAACAGCGACACAAGCTGATCAATGAGGAGCTTCTCGATGAGAACTTCGACGTTTGTATCACTAGTTACGAGATGATTCTTCGAGAAAAGGCGCACCTTAAGAAGTTCGCTTGGGAGTACATCATCATCGACGAGGCCCATCGGATCAAGAACGAGGAGTCTTCTCTGGCGCAAATCATCCGTGTGTTCCATTCCAGGAACCGACTACTGATTACCGGTACCCCACTTCAGAATAACCTCCACGAGCTTTGGGCCCTCCTCAACTTCCTGTTGCCGGATGTTTTCGGTGATTCGGAGGCTTTCGACCAATGGTTCTCCGGACAAGACTCCGATCAGGATACAGTCGTGCAACAACTCCATCGCGTTCTGCGACCTTTCTTGCTTCGCCGTGTCAAGAGTGACGTCGAGAAGAGTTTGCTGCCTAAGAAAGAGGTCAATCTTTACGTCCCCATGTCGGAAATGCAGGTCAAGTGGTATCAGAAGATCCTCGAAAAAGATATCGATGCGGTCAATGGCGCCGCCGGCAAGCGTGAGTCAAAGACCCGTTTGTTGAATATCGTCATGCAACTTCGCAAATGTTGCAACCATCCCTACCTTTTTGAAGGTGCAGAGCCTGGCCCACCCTACACCACCGATGAGCATCTCATCTACAATGCTGGAAAGATGACGATCCTTGACAAACTGCTGGCGCGTATGCAGAAACAGGGAAGTCGCGTACTCATCTTCTCCCAGATGAGTCGTGTCCTTGATATTCTCGAAGACTACTGTGTTTTCCGCGAATACAACTACTGCCGCATCGATGGTACAACGGCCCACGAGGACCGAATTGCTGCTATCGACGAGTACAATAAGCCGGGATCAGAGAAGTTCATCTTCCTGCTCACAACAAGAGCTGGAGGTCTTGGTATTAACCTGACGACGGCCGATATTGTCGTTCTCTTTGATAGTGACTGGAATCCTCAGGCTGATTTGCAAGCAATGGACCGTGCCCACCGTATCGGACAGACGAAACAGGTTGTGGTGTTCAGGTTTGTTACAGAGAATGCGATCGAAGAAAAAGTCTTAGAACGTGCCGCACAGAAGTTGCGGCTCGATCAGCTTGTCATTCAACAGGGACGCGCTCAGCAGCAGACCAAGAATGCCGCGTCCAAGGAAGAATTGCTGGGTATGATCCAGCACGGAGCTGCCAATGTTTTCAACACTCAGGCCAACACCACCATATCTGCGGAACACCAGATATCCGAAGATGATATCGACAACATTCTGCGAAAGGGCGAGGAGCGGACTGCGCAATTGAACAAGAAGTACGAAAAGCTTGGTATCGACGACTTGCAGAAATTCAGCTCCGAAAGTGCGTACGAATGGAACGGCAAAGACTTCACAGATCGCAAGAAGGACATTGGTATCAACTGGATCAACCCGGCGAAGAGAGAGCGAAAGGAACAGTTTTATTCTATCGACAAATACTATCGCCAGGCTTTGGCAACTGGTGGTAGAACGGCTGATCCCAAGCCCAAGGTTCCTCGGGCGCCAAAGCAGATCACTGTCCATGATTGGCAGTTCTTCCCGCCTGGGCTTCAGGAGCTGCAGGAGAAGGAGACGGCCTACTTCCACAAGGAAATCGGATACAAGGTTCCTCTGCCTGATGGTCCGGAAGAAGAGCTGAGCGAGCGCGAGGCCGAACGTGATCTTGAACAACAGGAGATTGACAATGCAGTGCCACTAACGGAGGATGAGCAGGCGGAGAAGGCGAAGATGTCTGAAGAAGGCTTCTCCAACTGGAACCGCAGGGATTTCCAACAGTTCGTGAACGGTTCGGCCAAATTCGGCCGTACTGACTACGTTGGAATCGCCACCGAGGTGGACAGCAAAGAGCCGGAAGAAATCGAGGAGTACGCGCAAGTATTCTGGGAGCGGTACACTGAAATCCAAGATTATCCCAAGTACCTCCGTGTCATCGAGCAGGGCGAGGATAAATTGCGGAAGATGAACCACCAACGCAAAATGTTGCGCAAGAAGATGGAAATGTACCGCGTGCCACTCCAGCAAGTCAAGATCAACTACACTGTGTCTACCACCAACAAGAAGGTCTATACGGAAGAGGAGGATCGGTTTTTGTTGGTAATGTTGGACAAATATGGAGTCGATGGCGAAGGTCTCTACGAGAAGATCCGTGACGAAATCCGCGAGTCTCCCCTCTTCCGCTTTGACTGGTTCTTCCTTAGTCGAACCCCAGTCGAGATTGGACGTCGGTGCACCACCCTGCTGAACACCGTGGCAAAGGAATTCGAAACTGATGGAAAGGCCAACGGTGAGAGCGGCAAGGGCCGGGGACGTGACCGCGACGACGATGAAGCCGAGGAGGATGAGGGCCCACCCGCCAAGAAGAAGACAAAGGGCGGTGCAGTTGTAAGTTTCCTTGACATTCCTACCATCCATAATCACAACAGAGGAGCTCGACTAACCTACCCACAGAATAAGCAAGTCAAGGCCGTCAAGGGTGGCAGCAAGGCAACTTCTACCTCAACATCGCGGGCAGCCAGTGTCTCTTCAAATGCGGCACCCAAGTCGAGGAGTCGCAAGAAATGATCTCTTCCTGTAATCAGAGGTGGGCGATGACGAGGATTGTTACGACTATTCTGTAGACTGTTTGGGAAGCCATTTTATGAGGAGGGAGGGTTTGTTGGTTCTATTTTGTTCCATATATGTCGGTCCGGCGTTGGCAGATAGATGCCATTGTAGTTTTATGATCATCTTCCATCTCCTTCGCTTTTGTAAAATGACACCTTGTGGTTAAAAAGACCTTTTGAAAGTTGTCTTCCATCACGTAGTGCACTCGAAACCGTAACCTGATCATTCAGTATATTACCCAGCTGGGTGACTTGACTATGAGGTTGAAGCCTCAAGGACAGGAGAAAGAGCTCTTCATACCTCTACTGATCATGATGGTTTAGTTTATATAGTAGACTTGAGAGATTGTCTCATGTTTGAGAAAAGCCTCTCGGTATATTTGTATGCTATGAATTTATACTATGCGATTCGGACGTATGTGTACATATGATGTCGTTGATATTACTGTATAGATGCTCACCCCTCACCAGACCCTAGCATCCTCCTTCTTGGCCCATGAAACCGGCACCCGAAGGAACATATTCATCAACAAAGCAGCCGCAACGCTTACATTGAGACTGTCCACTCTGGCCGGATCTGACTCCACGCCCAACTCGGGGCTGATTTTAGCACCAGGGATGCCAACAACAGCATTTGCCTGGGAAAGGATGTGGGGGCTAAGCCCCGCGCCCTCACTGCCCATCATAATGACACTCGGTGCCTGGGCGACAGTGCCCTCATTCCCAAACTCGGCCGGGTCCATATATACAGATGAAGATCCCTTGCCTGGCGCATCAGCGGCGTAAAACCGCCACCCATTTCCTTTTGATTGTCGAATGAAATCGACTTCATTTCGCACGTGAAGAAATGTCATATGTTCTGCGGCTCCTGCAGATGCCTTAATAACTACTGGGGATATCTCTGCTGAGTTTCGGCCCGCGAAAACTATGGCGTCGGCTCCCATGTAGTAGGCGGAGCGAATGATGGCGCCGAGATTCCCGGGATCGACGATGCCGTCGAGTAGTACAACAACAGGATACCTTTTTCCAAAGGTGTTGTTGATGTCAACCGTGTTGTTCATAGTGTTTACCTGTGCTTCTTCTCGCGATTGCGCTCCCAGCTCTAGGCTGAAGTGATCCGCCCCCGGAGATGGAACGGGTCTGAAATATTGCACTGGCAGCCGAGGCAAAGGGGATACCTCAAGAATACAGCCTTGGTGAGGTCGGCCATCACTCATCTGGTCGAGTAACCGGCGCCAGCTTGCAAAAGCCATTTTTACCGCCACATTTTTCGAAAGTGCCAGTTTTCGTAGAGCTATTTTCTCCGGGGTTAATTCTTGGCCCTCTGATTGGTAGAGGTAGAGTTTGTATAGCCGGCGACGGCTGCCACGTAATGCAGCCATGCATGCAGAAATTCCATAAACAAACTGCGATGCAGGCGTGGTATAAGGCACTGAGAGGGGAATTTTGACGAAACTTTTGACTTCTTCGGGAAATTTGTCGGTGGGACGATGTTGGCGAGGCGGGGGATGCCTGCTCTGATAATCCTGGGATAATGTGCGGAAACGCCCACTCCTGATTTCCTGATCGTCGCCGACATAATCAGGGTGCCTCACTTCCTCATTCGTATAGATATTCTTTCCATCCTTCCCTCTTTTAGTTACAGTTCTTTCTGTTTGATATGCGCGAGGCAATGCGCGAAATGTCCCTTTCTTGATGAACTCTTCCTCGTCGAATGCGGTTCCAGACCGGTGCTCCCGCGCTTCTGGGCGTTTGTCACGCTTGGCCATGTTTCTTTTGTGCCCACCATCCCGAGCATCGCGGGCGGAATTGCGTCGTTGAGGAACATCATCGACATATTGTGACCTGCGGATGCCCCGGCCAATGGCCGAGTTCAGTGATGCATGTCTGACGGGGTGCAAATGAGCTGACGGTGCTATTGAGGGTCGAAGGTAAGCTCGAAGAGAGGTGAGAGACGATTGGAGAGACATCGTAGTCCAGAGAGCTGTAACGGGCAGTAGAGACAGGTCTATAGAGATTAGAAACCCTCTCTTTCCATCCACTCTCGAACGATGAGCTTGAAGATAGTCAGACTTCTGCTGGCGTCGGGAGATGTATGCTAGGCGGAGAGTCCTGCAACGACGGTCTCCGCCTTTTGGAGGTGGTTTTTTCCTGCTCACCGCCCGATAAGATAAGCGCATCAATATTGCTCCGCCGCGGAATTTCGCGTTTGTCGGGGAAACGCGCGAGTCTGGAATCTCATTATCACCCACTTGGGAATTGGGGGTCCAACTGCAATTATGTTGACGCGCATATTGCTCATTTGACAGTCGTTCTATATGGTCACTTGCTTTGTAATAGCGTTTGTTGTTGAGTATTCTGTTGTTCTAATAGTCTCCCCACGTCATGGATTTCCTTTTACAAACGCTCGGTAGCGGCGAGGGGCCGGATAATGCAGACAACGATGGAGATATGGTCAAGGAGCTCTTCGCCAAGTTCAACAATCCCACAGCGAGTCGCGAGGAAGAGCTTGAGCCGCAATCAATATCTGAGCCTTCTGTCACGGTTGAAATTCCAGTCACATCGACCAGTGATCTGTCGCAGTACGAGTTTCTTCCCGGACATTTTGACGTCCGCTATGTCATTAGTGAAATATCCGAGGCAGATGCTGGACTGAGCTATCAGGTGAAGCTGCAGAGTGGTGAGACTGAAACTGTAGGTATCGCGTGGGCCTCTTTTGACTCTCACTTCTCTGTCATATCACTAACAATCGACTTCTTTCTCAGATGTCCTTCGCGCAACTACAGTCCCTCCAGAACGGTCCCGAGTCTCTCTCCAACTTCCTCAACTACGGACCAGATCACTACATCTCCTCTCAGTCAGCTTCAGCTGTTCCTTCCGAAGAACAGTCTCCCTCTTCTGAGTCAGATATACCCGATATGGGGCGTTCCCGGCGCACTACTCGTGGTCAACGATCTGGTTTCACAGCATTCTTTGAAGCCATCAGCAGTGATGAAGGAACCCGCCGTACGAAAAGGAAGAGGTCGCCTTCAAGCGAGGACATAATTGTGTCTTCAGGGGCTACCTCTAAGAAGCGTCGAGTCTTGCGACGCCGCGAAAAGCATACGCGTTCGGTCGTCTCGCTTTCCGATGAAAGCGATTATAGTGCACCCAAAGGCATACGGCATTCTACAAGGACGCGGAAGTCAAAGAAGAAAAGCTTGCGCGAGAGGAATGAAGATGACATCTCAGATGCTGAGGATGCCCCTCGGATGCAGAAGTTCTTTGGGGCTAAGGAGTTCTTTCGCAAAGTCCCAGAGCATGATGCATTTCGCCAACGCCATAGGAATGTATGCGAAGCCTGCCATATCATTGGCGATGACTACGCGAAAGGCCCTCTGGTTTTCTGTCAAGGATGTACGAGCGCCTACCACCAAGGGTGTCTCGGTCCACGCTCTGCGCGAGAACATCTTGTCACAAAAGTAGCTGAAGATCTATTTCTTCTCCAGTGCCGGCGCTGTCTGGGCATTTCTCACGCCAAGGATCCCTCTAACCCACATCAAGGCCGCTGTTCAGTTTGCAATATCAGAGGGAATATGTCTAAACCAATCCGGGAGCGTCTGACACCAAAGCAGGAGCAACAACTCCGGCAGCAGAATGATGGTAAAGATCCTATAACGCCCTTTGACATGTCCCGGGTCAACGACGTCGAGAACCTGCTCTTCCGCTGCACCACCTGCCACAGAGGCTTCCACTTCGAACACTTATCCGAAATAACGCACATGACATGGCAGTGTGAGAGTTGTGCATCAGTACCTGGAGAGGTTGGCGCGATAGTCGCGTGGCGCCCTGTGGTCCACAAGTCAGATGCCGCGAAGGGAGCAGATAGGGAGTACCTTATCAAGTGGAAGAATAAATCCTACAACCATACCACCTGGATGCCGGGCAGCTGGGTTTGGGGCTTTGTGAATCACCACATGCGGCGTGCCTTTATGAGGTCAGATAAAAGCCTCGAACCCTGTGTTACCGCCGAGGAAGCGATTCCTGAGGACTTCTTGCTCGTGGACATTGTCTTTGATGTAAGATTCTCCGGCACCTCGCCTGACACAGGCCGCAAACGTACCTTCGAAGAAGACGTTGCACGTGTGGATGATGTGGTAGAAATGTACGTCAAATTCAAAGGTTTACCGTATGAGGAGGTCACCTGGGACACGCCTCCTGAGCGCAGCAGCAACCCTGAGAGGTGGGAGAGTTTCCGATCTGCATACGAAGACTGGGTCAAAAGGGAGTATACTCACATACCCAACCAAGACAACCTCAGACGGCGTATTGCTCACGTCCGGAAGCAAAACTTCAGCTCCAATGTCGTCAAAAGTGGGCAGCCAGAGACAATGACAGGCGGACAGATCATGGATTATCAGAAGGACGGACTTGACTGGCTCTACTACATGTGGTACAAACAGCAAAACGCTATCTTGGCTGATGAGATGGGTCTCGGTAAGACCATTCAGGTCATCGGCCTAATCGCAACCCTTGTTCAATATCATAAATGCTGGCCTTTCCTGATCGTTGTGCCAAACTCGACGTGCCCGAATTGGCGGAAGGAGATCAAAAAATGGGTTCCCTCACTGCGGGTAGTCACATACTATGGATCGGCATTCTCTCGGAAGTTAGCACAAGACTATGAAATGTTCGCTGATGACGATACAAGCCTTCGGTGCCACGTCGTCGTAGCTTCGTACGAGACCCTGGTCGACGATGCATCCCGAAGATTGCTATCGAAAGTACCTTGGGCTGGCCTCATCGTGGACGAGGGGCAACGGCTAAAGAACGACAAAAGTCAACTGTACGATGCATTGTCACGAATCAAATTTCCTTTCAAGATTCTTTTGACGGGCACTCCCCTCCAGAATAACATAAGAGAGCTTTTTAATTTGTTGCAATTCTGTGATCCGTCTAAGAGGGCAGATGACCTCGAAAACGAGTATGGGGATTTATCAAAGGAGAATATACTTGAACTACATAACATGATCCGTCCATTCTTCTTGCGACGGACAAAAGCCCAGGTTCTCAGTTTTCTCCCCCCAGTGGCACAGATTATCGTCCCTGTTTCGATGACTACGGTGCAGAAGAAACTGTACAAATCCATATTGGCTAAGAACCCTCAGCTTATCAAGGCAATCTTCCAGAGGAAAGAAGGCACCCGTGCCTTGAAACAAACTGAAAAGCATAATCTCAACAATATCTTGATGCAGCTGCGGAAATGCCTATGTCATCCGTTTGTTTACAGCAGGGCCATCGAAGAGAAAACGAGCAACGCTGCCGTTTCGCATCGACATTTGGTAGATGCAGCTGCCAAGTTCCAGCTATTGGAACTAATGCTGCCAAAACTCAAGAACCGCGGCCACAGGATTCTGATTTTTAGTCAATTCCTTGAGAATCTGGACATCATTGAAGATTTTCTGGAAGGTGTCGGCTTAATGTATCTTCGCCTCGATGGGAGAATGTCATCGCTCGAGAAACAAAAGACTATCGATGCATACAATGCCGAAGACTCACCGTACTTTGCATTCCTCCTATCAACTCGATCTGGTGGCGTTGGAATTAACCTAGCTACCGCTGATACAGTAATTATTATGGATCCCGATTTCAACCCACATCAGGATATGCAGGCATTGTCTCGTGCTCATCGCATAGGACAAAAGAACAAGGTCCTCGTCTTTCAGCTCATGACCCGGGCAAGTGCCGAAGAGAAGATCATGCAGATTGGCAGGAAAAAAATGGTTCTTGACCACGTCCTCATTGATCGCATGGTTTCGGAGGAAGACGATGGACGAGACCTAGAGACCATTCTGCGGCACGGTGCTCAGGCCTTGTTTGATGATGATGATTCTGGCGACGTCCGCTATGATTCGGAATCGGTTGACAAACTTCTTGACCGCAGTCAAGCCGAGCAAGCTAGCACACCCGATGACAGCAATCAAGGTAATCAGTTCAGTTTCGCTCGGGTTTGGGCGAACGATAACCAGAATCTCGAGGATCAACTGCAGAACGTGGAGGAAGAGCCTGCGCCAAGTGCAGATGTTTGGGAAAAGATCCTGCGGGAGCGAGAGCAGGCAGCTGCCGAGGAAGCCAGACGAAAGGCTGAAACCCTTGGTCGTGGGAAACGTAAACGGACTGCTGTGGATTATGCGAACGATGCGCTAATGGAGCTGTCGCCTAACAAAGACCGCCATGCTCGTGAGGAGGTGGAAAGTGACAGGGAGTTCCGAGCGGACGACGCAATGGAATCAGAATCCGATTTTGCGCCCGAGCTGGATTCCGACGACATGGACCAGGTCGCTAAAGCTTCCAGAGGTGAGAGCGCCCTTGCATCGAGTAAGGTCTTCTGGCAACTAACAGAAGCCACAGTGCGTGCTTTCCAACGCGTTACCCAGCAGGATCTACGGCCCCCGTTAGATGGCAATGTAGACCCCGTCCTCCATCCGGGGCCACCCTGTTTAGCGTGCAACCAGGTCCACGTAGTTGGACATTGCCGCGTGAAGATGGCCGGCGTCGAACACTGTCCTCTGTGCGGGCTTGCCCATTATGGATATTCGCGTACATGTCCGCATTTGCGGTCAGATACTCAAGTTGCCAGAATGCTTGCCGCTCTGAAGCAAAGTACTGAGGACCGTGAACTTGTCCAGCTAGCTAGAAAGTACTTGAATGGGGTCCGTGGGGACCTTGCACAGCGTAAGAGGAAGCAAGCCAGTAAGGCTGCATCGAGTCTCACAAACCCTGGCATACCCACCACCGATTCGAATGCCAGTGCCGCTGTGACGACAAACTCTCCGATGATCGATCTTACCGCACAAAATACCACACAGGCCACACATGAGGCACCTAGTGCCGTTGGCGCGACCAACTCCTCCATCATCGATCTCACCTCAAACGATGGCACACGGCAGTCGACATACCAGCAACCAGCATGGGCCCCCCCTCAGCCATTTCGCAATCCTTATGGATATTCGGAACATGAACCATAGATAGTATTAAGACGGCGAGGAGTTGATGGTGCATGGATCAAAAGCATATACGGGGATCCTTCGGGGTTATTGGGCGTACGGGCTGCAATCTTGCATCGTTATGGGTGCATGTACATACATACATAGACATCATACCCAATCATATCATTGGCATGACTGGAAGTTTCCGACATGAACCTGAGTCACTTTCCCTTTGAGGCTGTAAACCGAATTGGTCACATGTTTTTGTGGCCTTTCGGTTTCTGCCGCCGTCAATTTCCCTCCTTGCAGCTGTCATCGCATTCCTCACTGGACCCCTGGCTGATATACTTACACTTAAAGCAGACCAGATCCCCACCTTCACCTGACGAATGGTTATATCCGGGGCCCCCGCTCAAAGCTTGTGGGATAGCTTAATTTCTTCCAGAAGATGCCAACATTTCTCGAGTCGCACAATGGCCTTGGTGAAAAAGGCCGCACCATCGCTGATAGGGCTGTAAGTGTAGAATATATCCGCATTGTGTCTCAAACGCTATCTCTATTTGACTAATCACAGGAAGCCGTTTACTGCTGATCTACTGGGCAGTTGGTGTCGCTATGTCACCAACACCAATGGCTGATATAGCCGTTTGTATCGCGACGTTTTATCGGCACTCAATGTCTCAAAGAATGGGAATATGCCACCAGCATGATTCAGACAGAGGGTGGGAGCTTCCCACAGTATGATGTCTCTCGGAAATACCATACAAAGTGGCCAAACCACGTACAATACAAACATGGGTGTTGGCAGCTTCCCGCCTTTGACAACCATCATAGGGGAACAAGGGGGTCCACGGGATACAGGGAGATTATGGCAGAAAAGGAAAAAATATGATGACTGTCAAAGGGCTCCAGTTTTCAAGGATGGGGCATTGTGTCCCCAACGAAACCGACAAGACAGGCCAGAACGGCGTTTATGCCAGAGTGGGAGGGCTGCAGCCATCCGAGCCGGATGTTGTACTGACCAACATCATCGGACAAACACTGGCGGAATTGAGCCACAACGGGACCCAAGTCGGAGCCTGCTGTTAAAGCGTTTTGGGGGCTCTTTCACGTTACTCTCCTGCTGCCTTTCCACCCTCTTGGATGTCTGCTCCGCAATTTAGCGGAACCTTCCTTTCCCTAACTGTGGATGTTTACGGTGACTCCCGAATAATACCTTGTATCCTGCACCTGTCGCCATCCCTTCTATCTTACCTTTAATGGCATTGTCCGTATAAGCTTTCTTATCTTATATATTATGCATTCATCTATATTTAAGTTCCTCTGCTTGAATTCGTTTTAATTATTCCAAATTATCCGTGTCAGTACTGTTATCCAATCCCCACTGCCGGCTTCAGTGAATGTAGTGACATTTCTCTCGCACATACACCAAAGCCATTCACCACGCGCTTTGAAACGCGCACTTGCCTACTGTCATTCTTTTCTCTCCTCCTACCTCTTGATTCCCTTGGCTTCTTCTTGAACACTTCCATCTCCCTTCTCATCTCTTTCCTCCCGCAAGCCGCTTACCACTACACTTGAATCTAGGATCTATCATTCTCGACTCTTCATCTCTTTACGAGACATCATCCAAACATCTGGTTGCAGTTTTATGCTGCCAAGTCATAATGTCCTCCACGATTCATCCCCAGTACTTCTGTACTCGTCCTAATGGCACCTTCACTCCCCTTATCGCCGTGGATGAGCTCCCCTCGCATATCTCAATTCGTGGGGCTCCTCGTGTGCTAGCAGCCAGTGAAACCCAAGGAATGACGAGCCTTGGGATTGTACAGATGAGGCCCCAGTCTTATGTTGTCGAAGGAGTTGGCCCCGCTTCCACTCGAGAGACGTCCACGAGTTCGACCGGACACCGCACCCGTGACTCTGATTTACAGGCCGCGTTGATGAGAGTCCTTTCCGATGAATGTCTTCCGACAAGCGAGCGTCTGGCTATTACAACGCTGATACAGCATGGTCTTTCTCGCGGCATGTTTACGCCCAGTTCGTCCAGTAACGGTTGGTTGGTGCCTAATAGTGGTGGTAGTATTGCTGGCAATGTGGGTTCTAGACAAGTAAGTCCTGATATGTAGCATTACAAAGGTTTTGAGAAAGGAAAACGCGTGTGACTGACCCTCGACCAGGGACCTCACTACAATACCAAGAAAGAATACTGTTCGTACTGGATTCGCCATGGCGAGTGTGACTATTCACAACAAGGCTAGTATTTCAGTCGTCTGGTTGTGTAGTATGACCACTAATATGACCATAGGCTGCCTTTATAAACATGAGATGCCTGGCGACCCGGCGATGCTCGAGAAGCTTGGCCTCCGTGACATTCCCCGCTGGTATCGTGAGAAGTATGGCATTCCCAGCCTGATACCGAATGGACATGTTCATCCTCGTCACCAAATCGGTCATGCTCTGCCACTGACGGACAATGGGGGTTTCGGAGCGGTCCACAACCCATCTCGCCTCGGGGCAAACATCATCTCGGACATTTCTGATATTGAAAGGGACTCTCAGCAGAAAACTCATTATGCTATTCAGCACTCACCAGCTGCACTTCCTGGATCGTCGCGGCCTGTCTATGCCGCCGCAGGACCGTCCAGGGCTCAAATGCCCCAGAGACACGGAGCAAAAAATTCTTCAAAAATGGATCTTTTATCCTTTGACCCTCTTCCAGAGTACCCCAGCTACACATCCGTGGAATCTGCGCCCGGGAAGATGCGCGCGCTGGCCAACGCAAATGGCACCGCCGCCTTTGCGAGTGTCAACAGCGAGCGTGAGGACTTCGTCCGCAGTATACAATCTCTAATGCCGACTCCAATGTCCGGGAGCTCGGAGTACCTGCTGGCCGGTGGTTCTCCCTATAAGCCTCGTTCCAAGAAGGCACAAAAATCCCGCCGGTTGTATCAGCCTCGGCCTGCTATCCTGAAGCAGGAGTCCGAACCTGAAGCAAGCGAAGTAGATGCATTCAGCGGGGAGAGTAGAGGCTATGGTACTGCTCCGCCGAGCGTTGCATCTCCCATTTCCAAGGTTGACCACCCAAGCCCGAACATCCGGTCTGCCCTAGATAGCGCGTCCGAGCCGGCTACTCGCGGTGCCTCCCCTTTAACCCAGTCCGGCACTGCATCTTCGGACTCGAGTCCCGATCTTGTCCGCGACCGACACAAAGATAAAAAAGAACACAAAGCGACCTTCGGCGCTATCGGTACCAAGAGAGGGTTCGGTAAGTCGTGTGACGGGTCCTTCGAAGTTGATCTGTTAGGCCTGGGCACCAAGGACGATGATTAAAGCCCGGCCGTCCAACGAATCCCGCTGCTTGAGTAGTCCTGCACTGCTCGAGACAATTTCAATTAAATATGAGACGTAATTATACAGGGTCTCGATCCTTTATGATATGATACACGACACGGCGAGTACTAGTCGAACTAAATATACTTACAAAGTTGATGAGTCCGGCGGGTGTGGATGGCTCAAGGATGCCAGGTCATTATATTATTGCCATCGGCATTTAGTTCTCTCTGGTTCTCATCTGTGCCCAGACCAGATGTCTCTCCTTTCGTTCATGATCTAGGTTGGGAAGGGAAAGAGTGGTCGTCGGGATACATACAACCGGCGCAAGGCGCAGCGGATTGTCAAGTTTCCATAATCGACGTCCTGTGCTGAAGGGTTCTCGGTGGTGTGTTTTGTCTTCTGTCCTTTGATTCTTTTACATGTGCTAATTATGAGTTTCGATTTATGTTGTCTTCTCTTCTTTTCCGTGTGTTTTTACTACCTTTGCTTGATCTGTTCCTCTAGTTTTCTTTTCCGTCGTTGAAACGGTTTGGTATGCTGGATATTATAGCATATATCATGTCTATAGTACCAGGAACATATCAGAACCTCATAATATATGGAATGTAAAGTCAATAGAGCCGTTGCAACGTAGTGTATCATCCCCCGATGCTATTAGGTCCAATCAGACAGTATCAGGATTCATGCAGTTATAATAAGTAGAGGAAGTGCTAGTTAACGATGAATGAGATATAATACATTGACATAAGATAAAAGTGTCTAATACAACCTTGCGAAATATGCGCCGCCCTGTTTTGTTTGAGCTTACACAGGTCAAAGAAAATACTACAGTATACCCTCGAAAACAGACACATCAGGTTACCATATGGACATACTCCCTCCGTTTCTCGTAAGTGAATAACGATCATGGTGGAAGTGAGGCGTGGTGTTTGTTTCCCTAGAATTCCCTCCAGAACTCATCACAGCTCAATGCTCAGTTCACCGAACCCTCTTCCTCTGAGCCTTTGCATTGACCTTCACCGCAACCTTCTCCCGCTCTTCCGTGGCCTTTGCGTTCAACGCAGGGTTCAAAGCCGGCAGGGTCCGCGCCGCCTGCAGAACGACCTTGTTGCCGTCCACCCGCTCTTGCTCCTGACGCTGTCTCTCAGCACGAGTGGCCTCCAGCTGCTTCTTGCGCTCGGGTGTCATAACCCAAGACTCGGGGAAGCGGTGCGTAACCTTGGGCTTGTGGTGACGCAGATCGAGAGGGACGTCGGCGAACGAGTCCCCCTCCTTCGCTTCCTTGATCAATGACTTGATGGTGTCACCAAGGTAACGCTTGTTTTGGGCGCGGAGCGGGAATTTCTCGCAGGACATGCGCACAATATCGGTTTGGGGGTTGTAGCGGACACCGACGAGTTTGAGGAAGGTCTGGCGTTGCGCTTCGGTGAGGTATTTGGGGGTCAGATCTTTGGAGGACAGCTCCACAACGACCTTGGGTTCGGCGGGGTGCTGCTCGCCCATGTATGTTGTGTAGCGGAAGCGGAGGATGTGAGATTCGGGGGGGAGGGTGAAGGGTTTGGCGAGCTCTATTGCGGGTTATCAGCAAAGGGATTGTGTCTGACATGAGGGGGAAACTATCTGAAGTCTGGGTGTAGGTGTGGCTGCATACCGCTCAACAATGGCATATCCCAAGCGGCGATTCGAGCGTATTCTCTGATTTCACGATGCTGTTCGAGTTGTGCGTAGGCCATGCTCGTCATTTCGTCATCGTTGAAATCCTCATCGCCGTCCTCAACGAGAGCCAGATCATCTGGTTCATCTTCCGCCCAGAAGCCGTTCGATCTGACTCTTGGGGCCTCGAAACGCATATGTGTTTCTCTTTCGATCTGGAAGACTTCCTTGTCGAGCTCGGCGAACATGGCGGCACGGGCCTGGGGGTCGTTGTATTCGGAGACAAGAGCACGGTTCGCTTCGTCGAACGCCTTTCGCTCTTCCGGAGACATCAAGTCATATTGCTCCCGCTCCTCTTTCGAGAGGAAATCAGGCGAGTATTCGGGTGCCGGGGGCAGGTCCTGCGGACGAGGGCGCTTGGGCTCCTCAGGGACGGGCGGATCTTCTGAGACGAGGGAGATGGGCGTCGCGGAGAATTGGCGGACGGGGGTGAAGATAGGCCCTCTCCGGGCCAGGAAGAAGGCCGAGCGGCCCAGCGACCGAGCTACTGAGGCCATTGGGGGAGGGGAAAGTCTGGGGATATTGGGAATGAGAGGCGCAGTGGAGGAAGTTCGGCGGATGTTTTTCATTTCCTTCCATCGCCGCGTGCCACTAAACCGTTTCGGGAAGGCAGTGGCTTTCACCGCCGAACAATTGGCTGGAACTACTTACCTCAACTGCAACTTCGTACTTGCCTTTGCGTCTTTCCGTGCCAACTTCATTTAGAGTCTGGCATGTTGGGTGCCAGTATATGAATGCTACAGCACTGACTATATTCCCTAGAGGCTGATATGGTTGGCAAATTTGACCACGTTTGAGTCAGTCTTGTTCCGTGCGGGATATCGCCCGCCTACTAACTAACCATCATGCCGTCTCCTCTCCAACCAAATGCCACTACGAAGGTCTGCTTCGTGACTGTGGGTGCTACAGCTTCTTTTCATTTTCTTCTACAGTCAATACTGGCAGACCAGTGTCTGCTGGCATTACAGAAACTAGGGTTTACCCACCTACTTGTGCAATATGGCAAGGACGGCCAGGCTCTTTGGGATGAGTTCCAGAACAGATGCCCTCCTGACAGTGAAAGCCGCCATGGACTTGAAATCGCTGGATTCGACTTCAACCAGGCTGGACTAGACGAGGAGATGGGCTTGGCTCGAGCTGATCCGTCTGAGGGCCGAGTCGGGGGACTTATCATCAGCCACGCTGGTAATGCCCATGTCTACAGTATCTCCAATGCTTAATTGAGGTGGCTGACATGGTTTGGGTCCAGGATCGGGAAGTATTCTTGGAGCATTACGGCTTGGTGTGCCGCTTGTTGTTGTACCGAACCCAACCCTGAAGGATAATCACCAGGAAGAATTGGCACAGGAACTGCAGAAGCAGGGATATGTTGTCGCCAGCAACTACTGGTACGCTGCTTCTTCAGTCTTTAGGATCGGGTGACATAGACGAGCTCACTCCTTTTTCAGGGAAATTTCGAGCGCACTCACTCGTGCAGAAAAGCTGCGAGCTCAGATGCTGGCTTGGCCGCCTGTGTGTGGAGTAAGCCAGCGGCGCCAGCCAACGCTGGAGAGCGTGATGTCTGACGAACTGGGCTTCTTAGATTGAAGCCGCCTTTGGGTCTTTATCACTAGCACCGGTCGAATCCACTCTGCCGGGCGCATTGAAAGCGATACATCTGTAAGTTGTTTGGGATGACACCGCCACTGTGGTACGATTATAATTATTATGACTATGGAAGTCATCGGGTAGCTGGCCGTGAGCCTTGCGCAATGAGGAGTTTTGAGACCAAATAGCCATGGAAGGTAGAACGAACGGTTTTACTTACGACTGGACTCATCAGTGTCTTGGACAATCCGCTGAATGGTGGCTTAACAACGCTTAGATATAGGTTATTGGGAATGTATCTGTAGGAGTAGCCAATTCGTTTGGGACAATTGAAGAAATCAAGCATATTTATGTCTTTATAAATTGACCATATGGCGAGCAAAGCATAATGATTGTAATGCCTTCTACCCTACTGTGATGGGTTGTAGATATGAGTTATAGTTGGGATTTCCGAGAGTTTGGAGCGGTGCTGGTCTGTGCTTTCCATTCCTCGACCCCAAAAACATACGCGCAGAACAACCCGCAGCTATTCTTCCCTCCGGCCTGGTTTGCTCTACTTCGTGACCTCGCAGAAGAGCAATCGAGCTCAAGCACTCTACCGAGAGAAGTTCTGCGACATCGTTCGAGTTCCGCGTCCTCGCCCAGCAACCGACCAGGCCGCGGGGCCTCTCCGTGCCTTTGACGACAACAAAACACCCGCGCCCTTCGATCTCTCCTCCCTCTTCCCCGATCCCCAATCCCCAACATTCTCTCCACACAATGGCAGAGGCCACCCTCCACAACGCTCCGATCGTCATCGACAATGGCAGCGGGACCATCCGCGCCGGTTTTGCCGGTGAGGAGATCCCCTCCTGCTACTTCCCCTCGTTCGTGGGCCGGCCCAAACATCCGCGGGTGATGGCCGGTGGTCTCGAAGGCGACGTCTTTATCGGACAACGAGCTCAAGAACTGCGCGGCTTACTCAAGATTCGCTACCCTCTGGAACATGGAATCGTAACAGACTGGGATGATATGGAGAAAATCTGGCACTACGTGTACGAGAATGAGCTGAAAACGCTGCCGGAAGAACACCCCGTGCTCCTGACGGAGCCACCGCTCAACCCACGCAAGAACCGCGACGCTGCCGCCCAAATCATGTTCGAGACCTTTAACGTTCCGGCGCTGTACACCTCAATTCAAGCTGTGCTGTCATTGTACGCGTCCGGTCGGACAACGGGTGTGGTTCTCGATTCAGGGGATGGTGTGTCCCATGCGGTACCGGTGTTTGAAGGTTTCGCGATCCCGAACAGTATACGGCGGATTGATGTGGCGGGTCGGGATGTGACGGAGCAGCTGCAACTACTGTTACGAAAGAATGGACATGTGCTGCATACCAGTGCGGAGAAGGAGGTCGTCCGCATGATCAAGGAGAAGGTGTGCTACGTTTCGCTGGATCCGAAGCGGGAGGAGAAGGACTGGATGAACAGCTATCACAAGTCGGAGACGAAGTCCGTCGACTATGCGCTCCCTGATGGACACAAGATCAAGGTACTTTCTCTTACGTTATGCTGATCGGGTTGAATTGGGTTTCTAATGGCGAACCATGACAGATCGGACAAGAACGTTACCGCGCTCCCGAGATTCTCTTCGATCCGGAACTTATTGGTTTGGAATACCCTGGTGTACATCAGATCGTGCAGGATGCCATTACCCGGACGGATCTCGATTTGCGGAAATCTCTGTACCTCAACATCGTCCTGTCTGGTGGATCAACGCTGTGCAAGAATTTCCCAGACCGGTTGATGCGCGAGATTAAGCGTCTGGCCGTGGAGGATATGAAGATCCGAATCTCTGCCCCCGCAGAACGGAAGTACACGACATGGATCGGAGGTGGTATTCTTGCTGGCTTGAGCACCTTCCGGAAGGTAGGTTTCCATCTCATCCCCCTAAACCATGGACCATTTATCTAACTCCTTCAATAGATGTGGGTAAGCGCAGACGAATGGCACGAAGACCCCGAAATCATCCACCGGAAGTTCGCTTAAAGGTGCTTGCCTTTTCGGATGAAACCAATATCAGGGACCTGCACGATCGACGTATCCACTTCCGCACCTGCAGCTCGCAGACTCCGCGACGGGATACGTTTCACTGCAAAGACTGAACATGCAAGCTACTAGCTAGGAAGAGACATCAATGGTGATGCTCACAATGGTCAGCAGCAGCTTTTAATAGATACCCCTCTTTTCTGTTCGCCTCGATTATTCAAGCTGCCATACCCATCTGCCACTCATACTACGCTTTCGCCCCTTCAACTATTTAACTATCTGATGCGAGATACATCTTCCATGAGCGGTGTTTTGTGTCTATTCCCCACATCGGATGAGCTCACTAGCACATCTACCCCTTATCTTATGCTGCTTCCCTTAGCCTCTAACCATACATACCTAGCGACATGTACCCGGATTACGAGGAAAGACATGAATCTACTTTCTACTTTGCTTTTACTACTTTTACTTTTCTCTTATCTTTTCTCTTATCTCCTTATTCCTCGCTGAAATTGCGTGCCACATTCTGAAGTTTTGTGTACATATTGGATGGATAGATGAAAATATACGAGTCCCAACAAACCATCTCCGTCGATCAAGTAATCTGGAGCCTGGAAGCTCCGCAATTGACATAAGATGCTCCAAAAAAGCCCCGTCCACATAGCCCTATCTGATCGTTACCACCAATAAAAGCAATAACTTCAAGAATGGTGGAAAGTAAAGGAGAAAAGTGAAAGACAAAAATTAATTCTTGACTGACCTACCATCACCCAAAGCATTAGGGACCTTTATCCACTACACTGAGGCCACGCCCCCTCGCACCAAAGAGTCTTCCAACCATCATCCAAACAATTACCCCCATAGTCATCATAACATTCTTGAGTGATATATCCCAGATCAAGAAGATCCCTTAAATCATGATTTCGGGTGGTAGCCCACAGATTCACTGCCCCTGTGGGGGTATCCATCGTATCGCAATAGTCTGCCATGTCCTGGGGGCAAAATGGTGCCGATCCTACCCAGGTGCATGTTCCTGAATCAATCTCGTACATGCTGTTATTGCATATTGCTTGTGCACTGGATATGGCGATGAGGGTTACTGCGAGGGGTTTCCGGGAGAGCATGGCGATTTTGAGGATGGGTTGTCGGGGGAATTGAGGGAGATAGAAGGTCTTTTTTCTGGAGGAGGTCAGGAATGAAATATGGAAATGTATTGAGGTCTGTGCTTCGAGTCCTTTGTGGATTTGGGAGGGGAGGGGAGATTATAGTATTAAGGGGTAATGTATTAGGAGATAGAGATTACATTGGTAAGAGTTGAACAGATGATGGATGTGATTTCTGAGGATGATGGTCAATCCCCTGCATACATACCTCGTCTTATTGGAATGGGGGCTGGGAGAATAGTTTGTGGTAGTGTATACTAAGTAGATAATGCAGCCTGAAAGCCGGAGGACTACTGCGTGGTGCAATATGTCACAACAAAAGTAAATGTTACAAGTAGCTTCCGCGAGGATGGCTTGTCAGAATGTGTCATAGACTTACAATGTCACATTAGAGGTCCGGTCTTGGCCCTCAGGGTCTATGGCTCCTGGGTACTGGTATCTGATATGACGTACCGAAGAGGACCTCCGACTTTTTGGAAGAATGTCATCTGATGTTCTCTGCATCTGTACCGTAGCTTCCCCTTCTCGTATGACAGTGACACTTAACGTCTCCAAGTGCCATAGATGTAATATTGGTATGTAGAAGTAGACATTTTAGCTTCTTGTGTTTCGCCAAGTCCCTAGATTGATTCAAATTGCGCACAGAGGTATAACGCAATATAATTGAATGCTGAGAGCGGTAACTAGATGTATAGTAAGTTATAACATGCCACATGAGCTCTGCGTCCTGTCGAATAGATCTGCTCTGATTACCGTCTTCCCAGCGAAATAGTCACTCTTTGACCAGACTTACCATATTGAGGAGGGCACAGAAACTCCACCTATAACTCACATGGAACGGGTGTGGTCTCAAGGAATGTTGCTGTACCACATCGTTGGCTCTCCAGTATGCATGGTTTGAGTGCCTCGCAACAATATCCGCGGAATCTCAGGCTGTCCTTAGAGCTCTTGCCGAGGGGGCTAGGAAGGACAGCTCTCTCTCTCTCTCAACCTTACAATCGCGAGGTAAGAACAACTGGTGACTTGTATTAGGAAAGAGTACAGCTATCCGCCTTTCCTGGGGCATGCAGTTTGATTAATTGGCATCGTTGCATCGCCTAAGCCTCCAGATAAGATGAAGACGTGAGCATAACCCCTGAAACAGTGGGGAAAGACACACTGACAAAGTGATTGATGATCATATTACTCAACGAGGTTGGAATGCGGGAGTTAGCACGTCCAAGTATGCATTCTGAGAGACGCGGATGAATCGTCCGTTGGAATATTCGGATCTACAAGTAGGTTTGTGACTATTAGCCAGCAGAGTGCTTTGGGCCCGAGTGATTGATCAATAGACGGGGTTCCAGTAGTAGCAGGACTGAGGTACTGGGAAGGTAATAAACAGGAACAGAAACGAGATGGATGGAAACGGGAAAAGTATTTACTAGTTGAGGAAAGAGCGTTTAGCTCACACCGATGTCTAAGTTGGAAGCAGCAACAACAACCTCAAGTCACTGAAATCTTCATGTGACAATCCTGGACATAAATGTCTTAGTCACTCTACCAATATGCTTAGTTTTTTATGTATATCCAAGTGCGGTCTATTGCCTGCTGGTTGTGCCTCGACCCAATCCACAATATGAGGAATATTCACGCAGTGCCAAATACCTACTACGTAGTCATCGAGGAAGTGTACAACAAACAGTTAGCTAGCCAACTAGCCAGCCACATGCATAGTAGTCTCGAACCAAAGAACCACGAGCATTTGTTTACATGTTCCTCCTCCAACGCATCTGGCGTAAGAAGAAGGTCTAGAACACTTCCAGGTAGTCCTAACCTAAGGTAACCCAACTCCATTGTATCAATGAGTCTAGTAATGTAGGTGGCCAGCGTCATTGTAACCCTTGCATAGAATGATATTGTCAAGAACATTTTATGTTTGTTATCGAAAAAGGCAAGTCGTGTCATTGAATTGTTTGATGATGTCAAGTCACGACATCAGAAACCGGAGATCCCGTCATTTGCTGAAGGGATGGTGCATCGAGATGGATCTGGTACAGTCGTTTGACGATGCGCTCCGCGGTCCCAGGGTGTTTGGTGAGGTAATTGTGGTTACGTTTTGTGTAACGGACGGTTTCGGCATCATTACGTGAGATTGCACAATTTGTTACCAACATTAGTTGTGTCACAACCTACTACTACTTGGTACGCAATGGAACAGAATCTGGTTTGGTTGGGGTTGTTTTGGTTTGGTTTGATTTCACAGTTAACTAGTAAGGTACATGGGAAATCTTGGCTCTATTGGCCAGTGACACATCATGCTGTGGTAGTGAAGCACGGAGATGCAGTGATCGATCCTATGCTGTAAACAAGACAAAATCCAGTCATTGTCCTAACAAATCACAAAGGAACAAGTGAACAGGGCAATGTCAACGCCATGCTGATGTCCGCGCATATAGACGAGACCATGGCCAAAGGGGTATCATGTTGAAAAGTGTTGATGTGGAGGTTGAAAATAGAAAGAAAAGAAAAGATGAGAAGAGAGCTGAAGTTGGAGGGGGAACAATAAATCCCTTAATTCAATCGAGAGTTGAAGAGAGGGGAAAGGATTAAAGGCGTAGTTGAATGAGATAATTGGGGTGAAGGTAGCAATCTTCGAAGGTCGAATCGAAAACAAAAACTTTTTTGGTGGTCGTAAGTCGTGAGTCATGATCTGCTGATGCAACGCTGGTAGGCGGCAATAGGCACAATGGAAATGGCGCTGAAGATGGTCGGAAAGAAACCCAGTTTCACTCCCCCCTGACTCTTCATACCTATGCCATGCCCCTGAGCTTGCCCCAGCCCTTCTCAAGACCGCGAAGAGCCCGTTCACGAGCAGAACCGGAGCTGCTCGAGCTGCTGCCGGAGAACTTGCGGCTGAGGGTGCTGGATGAGTCGTCGCTGAAGACCATGTTGCCGGCTCCACCACGGCCGACGTGGTAGACGGGGGCGGCACGGCGGAGATCACGCTCAAGCTCCTCGTCGAAGCTGAAGATGGCGCGCTCGCTGCTGCTGTGGACGTTGCCGGCACCGCCACGACCGGACTTGAAGGTGCTGGGGACATTCGAGTCCAAGCGGGTCAAAGAGGCAGGACCAGTAGCCGAGCGAGAGTCGGTGGTCTTGGTGCCCTTCAGGTTGATGACATTGCCAGCGCCTCCGCGAGCCGTGTGCAGAGCAGGGCGGCTGGTATGAGGAACCGACGGATGCGGTTCAACGACACGGTAATTCACTGATGCAGGCATGGTGATTGAGTTGGGATAGGTAGTGGTAGGTAGTAGAGTGGTGTTTGTTGATATGTTATTGAGGATGCGTGCAAAAGCGCTTACGATGCGGGAAGTATAAACTCGCGGTCTATATCGAATTACTCGAATTATTCGAAACGCGGAAACTCAATCCGATTTGCGATAATGGCGTAATAAACATGTAGACGCAATATGAGTCAATTGGAGACGAGGTGTATAGGCAATGGGGACCTATGGTCGAGTGATTCGCGAAGAGTGGTAGAATCTTGTTTGTTTGTTGAAGGTGTGGTAGGGCAGACAGTCAGACAAAGAGGAATAAAGCAGAAGCAGTCTGGGAGCGAGACTATTAAAAAAGGAGAGGAGAAACTAAAAAATTTCCCTCGTGTGTTTCTTTTTTAGTGGTATGAATGACTCTTCAAACTGGAGCTGATGAGAATCCACTTCTATAGCCTGGAACCAGGCCTCGCAGCGGGGAAGGATTTATATAGTTGGACGCAGACGAGGCGGGCCCAGCGAGTTACCGGGGGAAGAGTCAGGACGGCCCCCCTTCGTGACGGCAGGCAGACTCATGATTGCACCATGGCCACTGCGTGGTTTCCATTTCCAGGCACCGCGCCAGGGTCACGCTTGGCTGGGGTGGAGCTGCCCAGAAATTTTCATCCCCAATAACTCGTTACTAGTAGTGACTTGGTTGAACCTTCCCTCTTTCTGCATTCTGCGGTTATGCGCGCGCTACTCCATCATCACCGCTGCTTTCAGCCCTGCAAATTTTCACCCCGTTAGGGCGGCACCCAAAACGTGCAACATTTACAGCCAATCATTGCTCACCCGCCCCTCTTTAAACCAGTATAATCGGTTCGTATCCGACCCACCGCCCCTGCCTATCCTGGCTGCTTTAAAGAATTTCTGTGCGATCATCTGACATGCACGGCGCCAATCCAAGGCGTGGCGAAACGTAACAGAAATTGGCGCCACAGCCAATCACAAGCCATGGATGTGCCCGAGGGCTGGCTCTGGTGGTTTCCTGGGGGTAATGGAAATTGCTGAGTCGGTCACGCGTCATCGGCCAACACATTGCGTGCGGCCTGTTCTGATTCTATTTGGGTCGATCCTGGTGAATGAGGGGGAAGACTCTCGCAATTTCGCCATCAATAATAGCAATAATTCGGTGTATCCAAGGGGCTATGGTATGCTTGGGCCCGGGGCTGAGTTGATGCTGCTTCCTTGGTCTTGGATGTACAAAGTAATACACAGCCCGTCTATAGTCTTCTATTACTGTCTATAGTTTCTACTTGGTATACTCCTAACACGGTAGATAGATAGAAAATGACTTGTTATTATTAGCTTGGCAGGACTGCCTATGGACTTACTCTTTTCGGTACCAGCAAGAGAAACTAAACTGAGTAACTACTGACGAACTCTTGCGCTACAAAGAGTTCGTTGTCCACTTGCACCATCCCTTCTACTATCCCGTAATGCCCAATATTCAAGGCAAGCCCTCGTGGCTTCACCGTCAGCCGGTCAACCGGTAAGAATATTCTAACCAGTCCATGACTATTATTCCCCGCAACTATTAGGCCCCGGTGCTACCTGAAACCGGCAGCAGCACAGTTGCATCATTATTTGTGCTGCATCTGAAATTGGAAGCGTCAAGTTTAATGGCTAAACTCTGATCCCCGGCAGTACCGAGGGGGTGTTGTTCTTTACAACCATGGCGAAAGGGCATCGTCCAGTCAAATCCCGGTTCACAAATCTCAGCTAACCAGACTTACTTCTTCTACATATTGAACGGCGTCTACTGGAAAGGCAGGTACCGGGGAAGATGCCCAATGCTAAAGGCTCAAAGGGGCAGGCCAACCAACTCCGTATGCACGATGATGATGGCATTCTACATGAAAAGTAACATCTGAAGTCAAGGCCGGTGCGGAGCGTGGGATTCCCTTCAGGGAGTGACTAAGACTTTGCCGGGGCTACCGGTCGAGACCATTTTTAGTGCAGAAATCTCTTTCAGTATGGAGACGGTTAGCGGAGATCATCAAACAACAACCCCTCACCGCATCATCCGGGTCCCCATCTGACTGTCCCTCATTGCGCCCCAGTTTCTTTCGGTGTTGGCTGGTTGAAAGTTATTGACTACTCGTATGATGTTGGCCGGTGTGCGTTGGACATGGGGCAATGGCAGGAACTTTGGGGGGACTGGATTTTGAGGGATTCCCCCTGGCTGTCATGAGATCTGAACGGCACAAACGGAAAATTGAAGAATGCCTCAGGAACCCCACTGCCCATCCACTGCGCTAAACCCAATCAGGACAGCTTCCCCAGACACTGACTGCCGAGGGGGGGCGCCACTCCAAAAAGAGAAAAATGACTCCATAAATCTGGAACGATCGAGAGGGGAAGTCGACCAGAAATGCCTCAATGACACGAATCACCCTCCGACCATCGTGATTTCTTCTAGAGTGCTCATCATCCCCCACCTGTCAGGATTATTACCATTAGTCAAATGAAATGTATGCTAAGGACCAACGACTTCGACTAGTGAAGCCCTCACGGACTGCATTGCAGCATCTCCTTTCTTAGGGGGTCAGGGGTACAGTCATCTTAACAAAGCAACTCATCATCTCAGCCCCTGAATGGCCACATCAACCGAGCCGGTTGGACCGGCAAATGGCCGCCATTCCCGTCGTTCCTGCAAACCCGCTTCTGGTTCCCGAGGCAAAAAGGAAAACGGCAGAAGAACTTTTGGAGGACACGTCGTTGCTTCCCCGGATTTTCGACCCCGGAGCATCCTAGCCATGCAGGTTTCATCACTCATCACACCCGGCTGACTGCCACCACCGGGACATGACGTACGAGTAATTTTTCCGTGCAGGATGTACCCCTTCTTTCAGCTTCCTTCTCGCCGGAGACGAGGCCAGGAGGTCGTCGAAGTTTCCATGCTTCTGGACACGGCCACCGCCTGACTAGTTCGCTCGTGTGCTCCTTTCCCAACCATGTCCAGGTGTCGTGACCCCTCTCACTCGTATTTCTCAACATTCCTATCTTGCCACTTCTCTATGGTCGAGTCACAGCACGCGGGGACATCATGATACACCAGATCATTCATTGTAGTCATTTCGAGAGTTTGCAACTGGCATCACGCATTGGCCCCTTGGTCCCTTGCGAGTCGCTCAGACAGTCGTCGGTCACGACATTGCGAATCCCTTGCTAGTCCATTACTACAACAAGATCAGGGGATACAGTAGTGACGGCAACAAATTAACTGCATCTTCTTATGTCCTACCCCATAGTTCTGACACAGTTCCCCTTGCGTTTATCGGCCGTTGGGCGGCTCATTAGGTAGTGCAGCCATGCATACCAGTCTTACTAGTATTTGTCTGTCATGTCAAAATCTGGTTTCTAGGATATGCAATTCTTCTGAACATGCAGACACCATGAATATCACAATGACTGAATGCAGCAGTGAACCTGGTCCAGAAGTAGTAATTCCTTAACTCCACTAATTGCTCCATATATACCAGATCACCGGTTATCCTACTGCCTGTTTCTTAATCACCTCCTCGCATTGCTTCCACGAAGAAACAGGATAGAACGGAGAATAAAAGCAAGGAGTCTTCTTAACATATTGCACATTTGAGCGCTTTGTTATGTAAACTATAGACGATCAAGCAGCTTCCGTAGCCCATTGGGTGAAAGCCTAGTCTACGGCGCTTCCCTCAACTTCAACTAAAACTCAGATATCCAAAGCTCGAATCTCAACTAGTATTAGCAATCATCATACAACAGCCAAGATATACATCTTAAATGAATGTATCGTGGGTAGAAAATGACTATAGACGTATAATCATTCCACAAGTATACATAGCATCCTCAGTCAACATGATACTGCCACCGCCCACCGCCATTTTTAACAGAATCTCAGGTCAAAGTTCTGGGACTGTATGTTTCCAAAATCCGCTAAATCCGAGCTTTTTTCATCGAGGTTTACTAGTTTCTGCCGTGCTGAGCGGTCTGTAGAGCGGTAAGTCGTTTACTTTGGCTGGAGGCCAAAGGAATATACGGAGTAGCAGTCCGGACTAAAACTATAAAACATCGGCTTTTGCCTAGGTTGAGTATAAACTGCCTGTGTCTTGCGGCTAACTCCGTCGAATATAGCCACTTTTATATTATACAAATACTGAAGATGACTTCCTCGACTCTTTTTTCTTCTTTTGCTCTCCAATTAGCCTGCCAGGTTCTCGTCTCTTGAAGCTCGAGTATGCGCTCTTGGCTATAGAAGTCTGACCTCATCTGAGATGGAGAAACCCTCAAAATCAGGCCGTAATGAGTGTCTACCATCAACAGGACCTTTGTATACTATTCTGCCCTCAGCCGACCTTGCCTTGACTGGGAGGTATCCCCCAGAGGCATTCGAAAGCATTGAAAAGCTTAAGGAAACAATCAAAGCCGCCTTTGATACACTTGAGGAGCACGATATCGACCAATATTTGTCCTTGGGTTCCGTGTCTGAACAAGGCTTCCAACAGTTGGTTGAGAATCGCCAGCAGCTATGTTATCCAGTCAGGTTTACATACTTCCCAGATATTGAAACACTCATTGTCAAACTCGCCATACAAAGGCAGAACGTGGCTCGCATGGCATTCAGGCGAGAGATCACCTCCCAGTTAAGGATCATGAGTCTCGACATCGAGGAGCGTCCTGGCCTATGGCCGTCCATGCACGTTGGCCCTACTGGTTCCGTGAAAGAAGCTGACGATAGTTGGTCTCATCCCTTAGTAGAGCCTAGGAATAAGGATTGGCCAAGAATCGTCATTGAGAGTGCGGTAGCAGAATCGATCCCCAGACTCCGTCAAGGTGCCTCCTGGTGGATAAATAACTCTAACGGGCAAGTGAAGATCGTGATCTTGATCAGTGTGCACAAAGAAAGTAAGCGTATAGTATTCGAAAAGTATTTCCCAAAGCCCAGTGTTTCTTCCAACACCGGAACGCAACTTGGGACAGCTTATATCCCAGACTTGATTTCAACTACTGAAGTGTGCTATGGAGATGACCCTCCAAATGTCCGAGGCCCTTCAGTCACGCTGGAGTTCCAGCGCTTAGTGGGTAAAAAACCGCTGTTGTCTGAGAAAGATGTCATTCTGTGGCCAGAGCTGCTCTTGGAAATCGCTGAAGACATCTTTGAATATGACGGCTTTCCCCCGCTCAGACTGGCACGGTACAGCGCTCCCCATATGTTAACCTCTCATCTGAATAGTGGAGGCGCCCATACTCCTAATGCTCGTTAGCCATAGGATCAGGATTGGCAGAATTGGAAAAGGACGAGCATTTTGTCAAATAGATAAATATAATTAGACGGTTTACTATTACGGAAACGTAAAACAATCACCTTTTTACATCTGTTTAGAAAATACTACCTGGTATAAGATCTATGATAACAAGGCCGTCCCTACGCAGCTTATTCTATTCATACACCAATTGGCTGACAAGTAGCTTATCAGATTATTATGCAACGACCTTCTCGCACACGTGAACATGGTGATATAGTTAGAAATGTTTTCTGCCTGAGGCCACAACATCACGTCCCTGGTATATTGCCGTACCTGACCGCCCTGATATCGCTGCGATCTCCGCCTCAAGCAGTGCGTCGCCATTGATTTCTCTCTAGCTAGCATCAACGGTTATTTGTGCCCATTCATTTTTCAGCTTCTCTTTCTTTTTCTAGACCGCTACAAGTGCAGCCAATACACCATCGCACTCTTCCAACCGAGCCATCTCTCACGCGCACCGCGCCACCTGCGCGCATCCAACTCGAGCTCAATCCGCTTGCAAAGAGCAGTTGCTCTCTGAATACCAAAATGCCCAAATATAAGTCTCCCCCTCACCTTTTGATGGACCCTTAATACTGACAAAGACTTTACTCTTCTGTAGGACACTCCCAACCCCCTTCACATCAACCCGCGGACTTGTCCATCGCGCATGCAATTCCTTCCATCCTCCTATCCAGCCATCATCTCCGGAGTCACATCCCCACTGACCAATGCCTCCAATCGAATATAGGCGACTACTGCGATGTCTACCTCACGCACGACTCGATGAGCGTGCGCAAGGCGCACAACGCCGGACGTAACCACCTCAGAAACGTTCTGGAATACTACCAACGTACGGCGGCCCCATCCACCCCAAGACCACCTCGAAAGAGAGACCTGCTAACGCGACACCAGAAATCGGACAAGAAAAGGCCCAATCGGTCATCGACTCCATCACGTCGTCCTACGCCGCCGAAGGCCAGGCTGTCCCGAACCCCGCGATGGCTCCTCCGGGGGCTTACCCTCCTCCATTTGGCTTCCCTGGTATGTCACGCAACGCCACCTACTACATACATGCACACTACTGCATCGATCAACAAGCTAACAATCCTCTCCTTAGGTCGACCAGGTCAACTCCCTCCCCCTCCGTTCGGAATGCCTCCTCTGGGCGCACCCGGCGCACCGGGCATGCCTCCTCGTACGTTACACTTCTATCCCCCAACATCCCAAACCCACATTCGAGGTATCTTATCTAACCTCCATGAAAACAGCCCCCGGAGCAAGAGGCCTCCCCTTCCCTCCTCCCTTCCCCGGTCCAGCAGGCGCTGCCCCTCCTGCCGGCCTCCCTCCTCTCCCCAACATGCCCCCGGGCGCCCAGGGCTTCCCTCCTCCGCCTGGCGGATTCCCTCCTAACTTCCCGACCCCTCCCCCCGGTGCTGCTGCCGCCGGGTTCCCCCCGATCCCTTCCCCAGGTCAAGCTCCAGCAGGATACAGCCCCAGTCCTACGCCCGGTATAGCTGGACCGCCGGGACAAGATGGTGGTTACGCACCACCGCCCGGTATGGGCGCCGGTCTGCCTGGTCCGCCTCCGGGATTGGGTGATAAGCGGTGATGGTGGGTAGTAGTATCTTATCTTATGTTGTATCTGTATCATGTGTTGCTTGATTTGTTTACTAACGGGGTTTCTCATTTTCCTGTTTTATTTTTTTTTATTTGTTTGTCTAGATTCTGCTTCTTCTTTCAAGTGATTCCATACCAGCGTTCTATCAATGGGGATTCGGTTATGCAATATTTCTTTTCTTTTGTTTGATTGAAAAGGAAAGAAAAAGTTGGTAAATCAACAGAATATGAATAAAAGGATTTATTGGATGGATTTCTCTGTTTACTTTGTCATGATGCGTATGTGACTTGTATGGTAGTAATATCTATAAAGCTTCTTTAAGTAGTGCTACGACAACCTTGATAAAATGTTGTAAACATGTTACAATGGACTACTCAATAGTTCTAGGATAATAGGTCAATGCAACTCAGGCATAGCATTATGATTTCTTTCCATACACGATGAAATCACAAGAATAATACAGGGATATCGGATCAGACAAGTAGACAGACCCCCTGCCAGCTAATAAAATAAAAGGAACACTTCACGTAGTCCACACAAAACCCAAGTACCGATCTCCAGATCCAGTATTTCAGAACGCCAGCGGTGAAAATAAATCGAGAGAGAAAAGGGAGGAAGGAAATGAAAGGTGGATTGCCTTTGATAAGGATTCGGATGTAAGAGCCAGAGGAATTGGGAGAAAGAAAAGAAGGAAACAAGAGATTTTCCTGTATATCATAGTATACGACAAGGAATGGTAGCCAAGAGCATATAGGCAAGCAAATGGGAGGAATCGCGATATAAAAAAAGCAAAAAAAAACGCACATAGCGCGGGGGAGGGAGGATGCAGTCAGTGGAAAGCTAGAATAGGGCCCGAAGAATCAACCCATGCCCGCACTAAGCCATAACTTCATCTCAAGCAAGGCTAGAAAGCAATCATATTAAGTCTTTCAGTGGTCGTAACCTGCTCCCCGTTGCCATGGGCTCGGGTTGTTTTGTTGCCGGTATGCATGTGGGTTTTGGAAGGGGGAGCTATTGTAGTTCCGTGGTACAGGAGACGGTGAACGCCCGAAATTAGCATCGTAGGCAGGAGGGCCATTGCGGGCCGAATTGTCGCTAGGGAATAGCGGCAAAGACGGGTCGACAGGGGAGACCGGGGAATGACGAGCGGTCTGGTGTGTCGTGGCATCAGGGGCTTCGAGATTCTGACGGCTAACACTGGCACCGTTTCCACTCGAGAAGGACGTATTGTCATCCTCAAACGGACTGGATTGGTAAGGTGACCCCTTCATGTCCCCACGGGCGGTAGCACCCAGAGCATCCAGTTCGGTGGTCAACTGACCCCCGTTCTTAATGAACGAACCCCGGTCATCTCTCATGGGCTGGTACCGCGTGTCGGGGTTCTTGGAAACGATGGCGTAAACAGATGCGATCAAGACCAGGATCAACAACACCAGAGCAAAAACAGCGTTGTATACGAAGAAAACAACACCCATAACACCAGTGACAATTCCAGGTTGGTTGAACACATCCGAGAAGAATAGCAGGAAAATCGTGTTGAGGAAGTTAATGGCGGCAATCGAAATGTTGTAGATATTGGTCTTCTTGTCCATCCAGGGCCGGAGGACGCTGACAGCAATAAGCATAGCAGCCTCAATGATGACAAGAGCGATGGTTTGCACGACCGGAGCGGGCTGACTCAATCCAATGAACAGGCCCTTGATCAAGATATAGCCCAGGAACGGGACGATGAAGTAGTACGCAGTTGCGCGGTACTGGACATACAAGAACCCCCACTTATTCAAGCAGGTAGGGTCAGAGTAGAGGATATAAGCCGGGTTCTTGTGCATGATGACAGATCGCTTGGCTAGACGCAACACTTTCAGTGCTGCCCAACCCAGCGCTGCAACCACCGAAAGGAACATGATCACAGCAAGAACCACCTCCGCAGCTGAGTCGACCCGGGTGAATTCCCACAGGCAGAGTACACACATTTGGGGGAAACCGATTAGCGTGAGTCGGAACAGAATTCCACGTGCGACAACCTTCCATCCGTTACGGAACTCCTGGAATTTGTCTCCCTTCATCCTGCCGTTTTTAGCAAGGACCTCACAGCCAAGTTTGAAAACAGCGACAAGGGCCATCACCAGCGCAACAAATACAACGAAGAAGATAAGACCGGTCAGGAAGATATTCGTGGTTTCAATTCCAGCCTTGAAGCCAACACGCTCAATACCACGAACAATGACGCTAGAATCCGTGGCAGTTTGGGTACTGGCATCAGCACGTTTCTGCCAATGCTTGAAATACCCAGTGGCCTTCCTGACAATGGGCTCGTCATCGAGGGAGCGCTTGCGTCTGTACAGCTGAACGGACGTAGTGGACAAGTCTGAAAGAAGGGTTGAAGCCGTTCCTCCAGTCGAGCGCTGGTACCATGTACAGATGGTTTCCAGGAAGCCCACATGGATGATACCCATACTCCACTGGAAATTCTGGGTCCAAGACTCCACGATCGGAGGCATTGCGACGGATGTCATACCAATCATTGCTTGAGACTGCATGAAACCAAAGAGAGAGAGCGCGTTAGCTGCGACGTGAGCAGCCGTGTTCGAGTGTCCCAATCCCGAGGTGATGGCAGAGGCAGCCAAACCGAGACCGGAGATAATGGCTGTAGTCCAGCCAACGCCCTTCTGATAAACTGTCTTGCCGTTGGAGAGGGATGCTTCCACACAGGTAATGGCTTCACCGGTCGTGGTGGAGTTGATATAGATCCGCACGTTGGCATCAAGATCCGGGACGGTGTATGCAATGTCTAAGCGCAGGTGGTTAGTAAACTAGGGCTCACTCAAAGGGGCCGCCGATGACGGAGATCACTTACTCGGAATGGACTTGACCACGGACTCAGGCAGGGTAATGACGGCTTTCGGAACATCGATCGTGCCCGCATTCATGGGACAGAGTCCAGTAAGATCCATCTCACAAGGGTCGAGAGTCTTGGTCAACACCTGGATACCGTAGGCCTCGAGCACGAGCTCTGCAGTGACCTTTCCAGAAATTGCAGACACTCCATCGAAGCTGAAGGTGAGCGAGCGGTTGCCGGGGGTGAAAGTAACACTGAAGTAAGTGGCCGTGAAATTCGAACTGTCCTGGCAAATACTCAGGGCATTGGATTCGATGAGCTTGGTGGCGGCGGCCTGCGGGGAGTTGAGCAGGACGACCAGAAGGCCGATGAACATGGATATTAATCGCATTTTGGCAAGCTATGTGGCCGACAACTTGTCGATTCGTAGGAAAGTAACGAGAGCGCCCGTCGACCAGTGCGGGAGCCGCGGGGATAAAAAATCAAGTTGATCGAACAATAAGGTGGTACTCCAGAGCACCAGCTTGGCGCGGCCGGATGCGGTCGTGTAGGAAGTCGGCGGAAGCTGTAGGGGAGGGAGTGGTACCGCAGTGGAAATCGCGGAGGGTAGGATCGTAGGAGGAAGAGTCGGATAGGGTAGTATGTAAGGATTATCGCTCGATGGGGGGTGGGATCCTGTTGCGGTTACGGTTCACCACGTCATTGGTAGCCCAGGGCGCTTGCTTTCCGGGATACTGGAACAAAAAGAGCGGATGAAACGGGGTTACGTCGGGTTTGAAAGAACGATTGTAAAAAAAAGAATGCGATATATAAAATGAGTGTCGACTGTAGTAGTAGTATAAAGACTTTCAAGAGAGTGTGGTAGTTGGAAGTCGAAATAACAACAAAAGCGAGCGTGGGATGGCGACACACAGTATGGCCGGGGGGTTGGTGGTTGTTGGAGTTGGAAGAACGACACACGGGGAAGGGGACTGGAAGATGGGATAAGATGGTTGCCTGAGTCTCCCTAGACAAAAAAGCGGGAAGGGGAGGGAAAAGAGGGGAGAGGTGTTTCGCACCCTCTGGGGAGACGGGGGGGGGTGCGCAAGGTCGAATTGGCGGAAAGAGAGGGATGCAACGAGAGAAAGAAAAGAAGAAGAAGAGGAAGAAGTAACAAGAAGATCCAGACAAGAGGGAAGAGAGAGAAGAAAGAAGAGAAAGCGACGCCCTCCCTTCGAGAAACACCAGACACAACACAGTCACAGCGAGTTGGACGTGTGTGTATTATTTTCTTCAGGGGATTTCAGCTCTTTGGGGTCGCAGGAGAGACGGCCGGGAATGGAATGCTGTCGTTTGAATTGGTTTGAAATGGTTTGAAACCGCCCGGGACCCTCCTCTGCGCTGACTCAGCTCGGGGGCCGCCCTCTATCTCACCAATCACAAGGCTCAATAGCACTCTGTCACGGGAAAGTGGGGTCGAACCACCGCCGGGCGGAGAATGTACAATACGGTATCAGGTCGGTATTTGATGGATGGGGATGGATGGAGATGAAGTACTAGTAGTAGTAATAGTACTTCAAGCACGCAGGAACAATATTACTAGTAATCATGAACAATAGCCAAGACAATAAGAATGGTTGACAGATGATAATGACCAGTGAATTGACCTCAGTTTGAACCAATCACTTATACGCATGAATCAAACTCTCCTTGATTTCTTCTCACTGAAATGATCACACGGTTCATAGGAGGTCAGAAAGCATAAAGAAGAGCAGGTCACTCATCCTGCTCAGCTGCCAACCTCATATACTAGGGCTCTGTCCCGCTGTGCAGCTGCCACACCAGGAATGATCGGAGCCAATGACTACCTAATTACGAACTAGAACCAACTGGCTACTTTGCTGCCAGTCTGTCGGTACCAACTTGAAGTCATATTATTTGCCTTTTTCTTGCCCCAAGTCCCAAGGCTCACCTTCAGTCGGACTCCAGTGGGTGCACGCGCGTCCCTCAGGGGGTTGGGTCTGGCCAAATGCGGATGCCTACTTATGCTTTCCTTTACCCGCCGGGCCGCACTCTGATTTGTCTAGCATCGGGCGGGCCAGAGCAAATTTTATGGCGCCCGGGGGTGCAAAAACGGCTGGCAATCATGGATGGTTCCATCCTCCTACGGCATTACGAAATTATCATCCTCCGTGCTTGCTTGTGGGGTGCAACCTGCAGCCTCGTAGAGGTTAAAATTCAATGTCAGTGGATCTATCTATGTAATGTCTGCCGCTGTTCGTCGTGATCGCAATCGTGGAAGTGGACTCTACACATAGTACACAGTATGAGTACACAGTCCATCGTGTCTTGTGCTGTATGTGCGAGGAGATCTACATCAGCACTCGCTTCGTGGTCTTACTGCCACCTTGACCCAGTAGTAGTTCATCCACGCACCTAACAAAGTACTTTGTAGCACTTTTTGTTGTGCTTTCTTTTGCCCCTCCTGCTTCATTTCTTTTTTTTTTCTTGTTCCCCCGCTCACCGCCTGGATCGGAATACTTTACATCGATGCTATTAATAACTTGGCTTTCCCACGAGTTGTTGCGACGACCCAATGATACGCACTACTGCAACTGAAACGTCGAGGTGCGTACCTCCATCCAGCGCAAGCATAAGAGGACAATGCAACGTAGGAAGAAGAAGAAGAAGCAAGAAGAAATCTCTTCAACTGCCATCATCTAGAAAGACAGCATCGGTCTCTCCAAACCCCGTACATATGAGATGTCAGGTCGTTTATCGATCAACTGGAACTGTCAAATCTCGCAGCATAGGTTATCTTCCGACCGATCTATTTGTGTTTCAACCGTGGACCTGGACCCTGTGCCTGAACCCCGTGTGTAACACGGTAACCTGAGCTTGCTGAGTAATTCCCCTGTGGTAACTACTCCGTCCGGCGCGTGGAAATTTCGATCCTGTCGCATGTCAGATTGCAGATAACCTGCCTCAATGGGATACAGAAACGGCAGAGAGTTGGGTCATTGCTCATGCGTGGTTTTACCTTGGAACCGTGTTAATAACTGTTGATCTGGAAGATCAACGGAATAGGACAGCGGATCGTACTCGTATGTCTCTTGTTTGATTGACATAAGTGTTAGTGCGTGCGGTAGGGCGCCCCAGAGGGCGTTCCCGGAATGCCACTAACAGCAAGCCTGCCGTCGAGGGCTTAACTATGGGCTGCTTCTTTTTAATCTACTATTAGATAGTTTGGCGAGGGGGTAAATCTGGTCTGTCTGCACAGCCGCCTCCTTGCCCAATCTTCCAGAAACCAAATCAATCTAGTACCTACCACCTCTTTCCGATTTAATCAACTACAAACCAATCCTCTTTTCTTGCAGGAAGAAACAAAATATATCATGCTTTTCCAGGTCTCATCCTTCCTTTATTACACAGGATATATACCTGCTACCACATGTCTCGGACGACCTTCCCACTTCCCAGACACACGGACATTGTAGTCAAAATTGCTAAGATGCCACCGCATCCCGCATCCCTGATCAACCACCCCCAAGCGACAAAGGCAGATCATCAGACTTTTGCCCGTCCGTGACTTGCGCATCATGACGTCCGGACCCCATTGATCAACTGCTCCTCTCCTCTCCTCCCCAACCCCGTGCATTTCCCTCCCTCCTTCCATCATACCCAGTGGGCGGAGAAAAGAACAATCCACAACAATGCAATTCTCCATGCTTTTGCCGTTCTTTCCTTAGAGCGATCAAAGGGAAGCAACGCAACACCGTAGTATCGGATCATCCATCCATCCATCCACAGGGTCCTAACCCGCTGACGCCGCCTCAACCTTGGGTCTGGCGGAAAGGCTCGTCCTATTTTTGGTGCTCCTGGCCCTAAGTTACTTACGAGTGCAGAACCACGGATTGCGTGTCTCTCGGCTACGCCACTCTTCCTGGTTTTCTGGTTCTTTGCTAGGGGCCTGGGCCATGAGTTGTTAACCGTGGTGTCTAGTGATTGTTTCATGATTTGGTTTTTCTCGAGTTTAGGCGGTGTTTCTTTGAGGGTATAAGATTGTTGTGAATGGTGGTTCATAATTAGGTAATTGTCGTATTTATGCTTGTTGGACAGTGTCATATTTATGGTGTGGCTACTGTTTGTCGGACTAAAGACGTATTCTTGGGGGAACAGTTCGCCAAGTAGACGAATGCTAGACCATGAGGTACAAGTGACTTATTCATGACTACTTCCTAACTATACTTACATTTATCTATTCCGTACATTTCCATGGTTATAATAGTATTGCTAGTATTGTCATCGCATATCTTTTTAGGATACTACAACGGGCTCCTGATGGCAGTTATATATAATCCTCGAGTGAACACAACATTTCTACCTGAACTGAAATATAAAAAGGGGTTCTTTTTTTTTTTTTTTTTTTTTTTTTTTTTTCCCTCTTTTTTTTTTTTTCTTTTTTTCCCTCCCTCTGGTTTCTCGAGATTCCACCACGAGCCTAGCTAACTACCAACAAATATCTATCAGGCTCAGCCAAGATCTAGTAGTAGAATTCCTCCATCACTACCAAAATTCTCGACCAACTAACTCCATGAAGTATACTATGACACTATCGCCCCTCGATCATTTATCGCATCGCCCTACTAATAGTAGTATCTCATACCAACCAATCGTCTCCCTCACAGATCTTTAACGCAACCCCCCGGTAGCCCCAGAAACCCACTAGACCAGACCTCAACGGCTAAGTATTTCTCAATCTCACTAATGTCTCGTATACGGCAATTGCTAGTTGGAGTATACACAGCATTTAGCTACTACCTCAGAACCCAGTGATTATTTGCCAGTCTATATCCCTATACTTTCTGCCCTACATTACATGTCAATACAATCAATAACTTACCTACCTATTCTCTGCATTCGACTGCCAGTGGTACCCATACCAATTCATCGGACAAGACATTGATGACGTGTCTTTATATAGAGTCTACACCAACTTACGTATTAGCCGTCCCCAGCAGGCCCGCTTAAGCTCAGAAGCACATACACGAAAGACGTGCAGTGGTGCTTAGGCTACTCTGTCTTGCCCGTGCGGTTTGTGTCGGAGTGCTGTTATTCGTTTCTTTTGTGTACACCGTGCTTTCATTCCTCGGTGGATACTAACTCTGAATTCTGTGCAGTGTGGACAGTAAGTAGTGTTGGGCTGATCTCCGCGGAGTCGGAGGGGGCTAGTTTCCTGTAACTACATAGTATGATGTCTAGTCTTACATTGAGTATGGCTTCCTACCGCACAATCTAAAAGCGAAGCTTTGTTTCAGACGTCTATTGACCGAAGTCGAGTCTATCTAAGTATAGATACATCTGAAACGTCGGACCAGTCTTCTCCAAACAACAAACTAAGTTGACTAGTCTGGCTTGATGTTCTACGTCCGCTTGCTTACAAAGGTGCATCCCTGGCAGGGAGCCGAGCTAAGCCACTCTCAGGGGTAGATTTGGATATCTCAGGTGTTGGTTTCAACGAACGGGTTGACCGAAAGTAACTCAGACACCATGTCTGTGTGAGAGAGAAGGAACAGAAAAGGGGCAACGAGCCTCACAGTCATAATTAGCGCTTCATGGAATCCAACCCCGGCAAACTGTGTTGGATTTGGGGCTACGCAGCCCGTGTCTGATAGCTGAGTTCGTTCGAGGATGATCGTAAGCACTGTAGCGGAATGGAGAGATTTTAGTGTAGAGTGCTATGTTCGTAGTATTAGTATCTATTTATGTGAGGTGGTACGTCTGTATTTACTTTATTGTTCTAAAACCACAGAGAATGCTGCCTCGGCTTAGGGAAACCTGTACTCCTCTCGTCATGTAGTATGAATTTGAATAGATACTGGAGGCTGTATAGTATTGAACTGTGCCTCCAGTCTCTTACAACCCATAATTATGAATCGCGCATGAAACAGTGACATGAAGCTCCAAGGCCGAGCTATTCGGGTTTCGGGTCTCGGAATTTCGGACGAAATTTCCCTATTTTGTCTAAGAGGTCAAGATCCACCCAAAACTTATGAGAAATAACTATTGTAAATCATTCAATAGTATTATCAAGGTCTTAAATGGACCCATTTAGTCCGACATATCGATGGGGAGAACGTTAAAGTCTGAGTGCCGGGTTCGCCAGTATTCGTCCGAGATAGTCCATCGAGATTTCGACTGGTTCTGTCCTAAATAGGGATAGAGGAGATTATTAAGTGTGTATGCCTGTAAGTGTAGATATAAGTTCCCAATGTTGCTTTTGCGTTCTGAGTTTCTTACTACTAAGTAGTAAGATATATAATGGCGGGCGCAAAAAAAGATGTCTCATTGGCAAATAGTAAAGACGTTAAGAGGATATTGTTCTTCGGGGATAGCATGGCACATTGTATGTGAAAGTATCACCCGATGGACAAGTAATTAACACGACAATTATCTGATTAGAAGTCTTGAACTCGCTTCATATTCTCTTGAAGTTGCACAATATGCTTCGTATGTACGAAGAGCAACCAGTAGTATACGGAGTAATTGTCGGTGACGGCGGAAAGACCATGATTGTGCGTGGTCTTGAGATACAAAAGCGTGATCTTTCCGCGCTACGTGTTGGTGCCTTAAACATTATGGGCAGACTAAACCCAGTTTTGTTGTAATACCAACAGATCATAGCGACAAGAAGTTCTAGACTAAAGAGGTTGGGGGTAGGGGGTCATTAGGCCGCTAATAGATCTCCCAAAGTCACATTCTCGATTTCCTTAAACTGCTGAAAATAGTTTCTGTAATACTTAACCTGTATAGTAGACCTTCGGAAATCAATGCTAAGGTTAATATCGCTAGATATAACTCTGGGAGAGAGTGTGTAGTGACAGAGATTGCGCCGACGCGGCTATCGGCAAAAGTGAATCGCTTGTGGAAATCTCGCACCCGCTAGAAAATAAGAATGATCTAGCGTCTCCTTCTTACTCTTGAGAGTGAAAAAGGCATCTCTGTTGATATTTTGTATGGCGCGGTAGGTAACTTAATGTTTAAGAGTATGAATCGCGCGCGCCATCCCTACGGCTACACAAGACATAAAGGTTATAATAACATGTAATAAGGCTTTTATATGATAGAGGTCTGTCGCTGTCCTGCTATTGGGCTCTGGATGTATAAATCTACCAGCGATCTAGATAGCACGGCGGATACGTCACTGCCATAAGCATCCCAGTATCAGCAGACCAAATGTAGCTCTATATCAAAAGTCAGGCTATGGCGGGCCGGTTGGAGGAGGGTACGATAGACTGCTCCGGTTATAGTTACCGGCTACGATCTCTTTGTTGTAGAATCGAACTACGTAGAGACTAATAGACCTGTGTAGGGTTTTCTATCTTTGACGACAAGAATAAGATAATTCATGACCGTGGGTATGTTTGTGTGCTGTGTTAGCCGACCACCCTAGCTATAAAGGAGATATATAGCGACAGGAGGTACAATGAGGCAGAGATATCAGATCTACGCTACAAGATGATAGGTAATCTGACGCGCATTGGCACCTTTGATTCAACTTCTAGGACCAAAAAACGATGGCAGGAAGCTGAAAGGGTAGAGTTGGAGGTGATGAAGGCTAGCGAAAAGGTCCTGGGGCCTAAGCATCCGTTTACTCTGACGAGCGTAGCCAACCTCGCCTACACCTGGAAATCTCTCGGGTGACTGCGTTGTGGGTAAGGCAGGTGTTCCGCTTCTCTGGTCATGGCCGATGCTGCAGGGCTCGACTCCTTGGACGTTTGATCACTTTTCCACCATGTATATCGACGAACGACCGTGGTGCTGCCCCCCTATTGCCTATATCACCGTATGGCTTCAGATGATGTTGGAGAGGCTTCCCAATTTGAACGCAATTGGAGACAAGAGGTGAGATACGTATTGATTTATGTTCCCTGGCTTGTCAATAAGCGTATCTTGCTGCATTCGTTCTGGTCTAACTCGACCGAAGCAAATGGGCAAATTTTGACTGCAAGTGTGTTTCTAGCATGCGCTTATGTCCGTCGGACACCTGTTTTCCTTGGTTCTTCTGGACCAATCGATCAATACACTCGTCTAGGCTGATCTCTTCCTCGTCATCGGTCGGCTCTTCTTTCGCAGCCGCAGCCGCAGCCCAGAGACTGTCCAGTTCATCCGACCAGCCTAGCAGATCGGCTAACTTTTCCAACCCATCATCACACGATCCAAGGATTTGAACATCCTCTGGTCGTGTACCAAAGTCCCCCGCACTCTCCATGTTGATGAGGATCCGTGGAACTCCCTCCCTCGCCAAACGCGGTAGCCGCGAGCACGGGGCAACCTTCAAGCTTGTGCCCATAACAATCACCAGATCCGCCTCGGCTACCAATTTCTCTTTTTCATCAAATGCAGCGGGAAGCGACTGGCCGAAGAAGACCACATCCGGCTTCACCGCTCCCTTGCACCTCGCCTCAAGACAGTACGGTACTTCTCTCTTGGCGATGGCCTTCTTCATCAGCTCGTCCGGGTACGGCGTGTTGCATTTGTGACAACGCTGCGTCTTCCAGTTCCCATGCACCGCAAGCATCTTGTCTGCGGGGACGAAGGCATCTTCTTCGAGACCGTCGGTGTTCTGGGTAAACAGGAAATGGAGCAGGCCTTTCTTCGCGAGCAGACCGAGGAATGCGTGGGATCTGGTCGGTTTGAGGCAGCGGGGATGGCGAGCTTTTGCGATGGCGTAGAATGGCTCCGGAGTATGGGTGAAATAGCTGATATGGAAAATCGCCTCGGGAAAGGGCAGCTTGAGGGGTGCCAGTTTCTCGTAGAGACCACTGGTGGGGGAGCGGAAGTCGGGGATTCCGGCGGCGGTGGAGATGCCCGCGCCTGTCAGGATGACGATTCGTTTCGCCTTGGCAAGGTGTTGGGCGGCTATCTCGATTTCAGACGAAGTACTGGTCATCTTGTGATATGGATGCTGTCGAAGAGGATCTGGTCGAGATAGGACGTTGCTATGAGCATGTCTTGTCATGTGATGTCAGCATAAACACGTCGGCAGATCAGGCTTGTCTCGATGACTTGCATCAGAAGCACAACTGTATATTGTTGCTGACCTAAAGCATTCCTATGGATGGGTCCGATGGTTGACCTGTACTTCTCAAATTGGTCTCTTTGCTTTATACCCGCGCTACAGTCAGTGGCCCCGGAATGAATATCTTCCAAGGACAAGCATCCGCAATGAAGAGTCCCAATCCGAGACGTCCCATTGGTCAAGCTCAGTATAGTCGACCCTACTATGCGGAAGGGGGTGGCGAAGTGCAGGACACGGAGAGACTGGCCCAATGGGAAACAATAGCTTAGGTTAGTCTGAGTTGACACGGCGTCAAAGAATAATAGGAAAGCAGGAGGAGAGGCAGGCGGGCGAGGAGACTATCTATACTGTATAGACGCTTTCCCCGATCAGGCACGCTATACCGGATGCAGTATTTAGCCGTCACCGTATAATACGGAGTATGGTAGCATATCTATGTCTGTTACCGCCTCAGGCACCACCGCACGGACTTGCCACAACCAATTATCGCCCCTTATCAACACGTGACGCGGACTTTGGCAGAATCGGACCAAAAAAAAAGAGGAAAGAAAAAAAAGGGCCGTACCAGCTTCACGTTCCAGACTCAACCCCAACGTCGAATTTTTTTGTTCGCAAAGGGAACCTGTCTACGGAAGGTACTCAGTCAAGATGCCGATCCCTGTGGATACCGCGAAATCTATCAACAAGAAGCGCAAGAGAAAGCACGGTGCGCGCGGTGCGACCGAAGCCGACGATGCTTCCCCGAAGCCCGCTGTCGACAATGGAGAGACGACCGAAGTGACGGAGACATCTACGGAAAAGAAGTCGAAGAAGAAGGCTGCTAAGGAGGCTGAGAAGGAAGAAAAGCCCAAGAAGCGCAAGGTTGACGACTCCAGCAACGAGGATGAGAATGACAGCGAGGAAGAAGTCCGTCAGGCGGAACCCGAAGATGAAGATGGTGAGGAGGGCGAGGAGGCTGAGACTGGTGCAGACCTTCCTTCTCTGGACGCTGTGCGTCTGCCTCAGACGGATGGCGAGCCGAAGAAATTTACGGAATTGAACCTCTCTGAGAAGACGATGAAGGGTATTCAGGATATGGGCTTCGAGACTATGACCGAGATTCAGCAACGTACTATCCCCCCGCTACTTGCTGGTCGTGATGTTCTCGGTGCTGCGAAGACGGGTTCCGGAAAGACTTTGTCGTTTTTGATTCCCGCTGTGGAGATGTTGAGCGCTCTGCGGTTCAAGCCTCGCAATGGTGGGTTCCTGGCATCTCTACTAGGTGTTCGCTCGACTGAACATGTGCTGATTTTCTACTTCTAGGTACTGGTGTTCTTGTCGTTTCTCCCACCAGAGAGTTGGCGCTGCAAATATTCGGTGTGGCCAGAGAGTTGATGGCGCACCACTCGCAAACATATGGTATCGTTATTGGAGGTGCCAACCGTCGAGCTGAGGCGGAGAAGCTCACCAAGGGTGTCAACTTGCTCATTGCCACTCCTGGACGCTTGCTTGATCATCTGCAGAACACCCCCGGCTTTGTGTTCAAGAACCTGAAGACTCTCGTTATCGGTAAGTGTGGCCTGATTACGAACACAACAGGCGAATGTACGCTAACGTCTGTGCAGACGAGGCGGACCGTATTCTGGAAGTCGGTTTCGAGGACGAAATGCGTCAGATTGTCAAGATCCTGCCCTCCGAAGAGAGACAGACCATGCTGTTCTCTGCCACCCAGACCACGAAAGTCGAGGATTTGGCGCGCATATCGCTGCGCCCTGGCCCCTTGTACATCAACGTCGACCACCGCAAGGAGCACAGCACAGTCGAGGGTCTGGAACAGGGTTATGTCATCTGTGAGGCTGACAAGCGCTTCCTGCTTCTTTTCTCCTTCCTCAAGCGCAACCTTAAGAAGAAGATTATTGTCTTCTTCTCCAGCTGTAACTGTGTGAAGTACCATGCTGAGCTGCTCAACTACATCGACCTGCCGGTGCTTGAACTTCACGGCAAGCAGAAGCAGCAGAAGCGGACCAACACATTCTTCGAGTTCTGCAATGCCAAGCAGGGAACCCTGATCTGCACTGACGTTGCTGCCAGAGGTTTGGATGTGAGTACCTGCCCATTAACAAATCACCCAGAGCACAATTTAACAATCATAGATTCCGGCTGTGGACTGGATTATCCAGTTCGACCCCCCGGATGACACCAGGGATTACGTCCACCGTGTCGGTCGTACGGCTCGTGGTGTCAACGGAAAGGGACGCAGTTTGATGTTCTTGCAGCCTTCCGAGGTTGGTTTCCTGAAGCACCTCAAGGAGGCTCGTGTTCCCGTTGTGGAATTCGACTTCCCGGCCAACAAGATTGTCAACGTTCAATCTCAGCTCGAGAAGTTGATTGGTCAGAACTACTATCTGAACAAGGTGCGTTCACAGAACTTTATCGACTCCTATCTACGATATCAATCCCATACTGACTCCACCCGCCTAGTCCGCCAAGGAAGGTTACAGAGCCTACCTCCAGGCGTATGCCTCCCACTCGCTCCGGTCCGTCTTCGACGTGCACAAGCTTGACCTGGTCAAGATTGCCAAGGGATTCGGATTCTCGACGCCGCCACGCATCGACATCCAGCTGGGCTCCAGCCTGAGTCGGGATAAGAAGCAGCAGCAGCAAGGACGCCGAAACTACGGCAGCCAACCGAAGGGGCTGAAGTTCAAGCGCAAGCACGAGGATGACTGAACTGACTGACTAATAAGCAAAGAGAAAAGCAAGTGGTTTGTGTGATTTTCTTGAGACCTGGCATTTTAGTTTCGGAGTTTACCCTGTGGATATCTGGACTTGTCTATATTATTATTTCCAATCGTTTTCTTGAATAGATCATATCATTCAGAAGCATTTTTTTTGTTGTGTCAGGTGTACTCAGTATTCCCGTTACCTTTCGTTTTCCTCCGATCGGAAATTACTCCCTAAAATGAACCCAGAAGCACAGAGCGAGACAGGTGACTGAAAAAGCCTGCTAAGTCTCTTTCTGTGAAACCGAGATTCTGGTCGAGGACTGGTCATTGTAGTTCCCTCGGCTGGATTGCTGATGTACTTGGCAGGTTGGAATGTCTCACGGGCTATGGATGGCTGCAATGCATGTCATTCATGTACAGACCTGGTACAGAAAGGAATAAAGTATCTGGTAGGCTGGGCTATGAATAGATACAGAGGAGACTAGATTGTGATGATCGGTGAATCTTATCTCCTATTGCTGCTGCAAATGTGGAAACTCTACGCATCTTCCACATGTTTAGTATAGTACTTTAGAGTGGTCTGTTCTATATCTGGCAAATCTGCTCAACCGAAAGAAGAAAATTGGCAAGTCCCTTCGACAAGAAATAAATATAACCCACCGCGAGAATTGTTTTAAGAATCCTCATAGGCTTGATGTGAATATTCCTTCTTTTAATAGTTGACTTAGTATGGCTGCCTGTTGAAAGAACTCATCCTTTTCTGATCAAACATGATGAGCCCAGCCCCGCCACACCCCATGCATTGGACATCAAGACCAATCAAGTACTTCGATCCGACAATTCCCATCATCGGATATTTAGTTTTTCATTTTACATACCGGCAGACACAAACTTGAAAGGGCAAATAAGACCACGCTGACCGGGGGAGCATGGGCTATCCCAGCAAACTCATCAAACCTACACTTGAATCCGAGGGTGGCTGGTCAAAAAGGTGGCTGGGAAAGACAAAAAAAGGGGAAAGAAAGGAAAGGGACGGGACGGGATCCGCCGTCGAACCCAACTTTTCCATCCCATCCCACCCACTACTGGGAAAAAAAAGTACGGGCACATCCAACGTTGCAAGTGGCCGTAAGCAACACCTGGTCCTGACAGTCACCTGTCCTACTCCAGCAGGATGATCGTTGCAATGGAGAAATTTGATGGGAAAAAAAGGCTACCAATCAGCCGTGAAGGCTGTAGTCAGAATTGACGGAGGGGACGGAGGGGATTGATGAGCTGGCAGTCCTAACCGCCAATGATTGCTGGGAGTTGGTCGTCCTGGAGACCGCCTGGTCCTGGTCCTTGACTGCCTCTTTACCTTTCTTGCTTTGCGGCCCATGAGCCAGTCAGTCAATGGGAGAGATGAGAGAGAGAGTCTCTTGCTGGTTCCGTGTGCGGGTCGGGGGAAAAGGAATACACACACAGGGAGGGGCGTGGGCTCCACCCACTCACGATTCATCCATCTACTGGTGATGAACTTTTTTTCTCGATTCGGACTTTCCTAATCCCAGTAACCCAACGACCGTACCTACACTAGTCATGTTCGTTCGGGATGCTGATGCTGTTCCGGTAGCCCTCCTCCGCCAGTGGTCTTCAGAATTATCCGATTCCCAGCCAGGTACGGAGTCCGGAAGACAGGAGATCGTGGCTTCTAATGTGACGAGTCATTCCGAAACCAATCGACCCTCTGGACATTGGGTGCTGGCAGGCTCTCGTGTTTCAAGCTGTATATATGGCAGCCAATTCCTGAGCATCACGCTCCAGGTTTCACCACCATGAGTCTCGGGAGGCAAAAACCGCTGCTCTCTCTCACACCTGTACAACGGTAATAGGGCCACCCAAGATCGGGAGTGGCAGACAGACAGGAAACAGATCACATCTCGGGTCGCACTACGAAGGCAATAACCCGCTCTCGTCCAGTGGGAGACGCGCGCATGGACTTGTATGGATTTTAGGAAACAAGAAAAATCATATTTCTCCAAGCCTCACGCTTCTTACATCCCTGGTGTGTCGGGAAAGAAAGATGCGAGTGGATGAGAGTCGGATTCAGCCTTAAGCTTGAGGAAGCATCATCGAAAATTGTGAAGATCACTCTCGGCGACAGGGAGAAACCGGCAAAGCCGACTA